ATAGTCCGGCTTTCTATCGTAGGTAACACTGATGACATTCTTGTCTCAACAGTGTATAGGTTATAAGAAGGATCTTTGTTATTCCATATTTGTATAAATGGGGAGAAGCGTGGCAGATTGTGCACTACTATGATCCTAATTCCCTGAGTTAGATCTCTGGCCACGGTCAACATCTGTGGCAAGATGTATTTGAATCTGACTTTGGGTCCCACGAGATTGACTCCTTATGAATGAGCACCTCGTGCGGTGCATGTGAACATCAGCACTGGAAAACAAATGGTGGCCCTTTTTTGTTCCTTGTCGGCCTCACGAGGTGCTCACTATCAGCACTAGCTTGACGCCTGTAAGGTTAACGGGGGTCTGTGTGTGTGAAAGGTGTGTGCAGTGTGTGGGGGAGTGATGGGCGAAACGCGGCAACCCAAGTCAAACTCCCAGCAGTGGTTAACATCCACGGTGAACGATATATAAACCGGTACTGGGCTTCCCTAAGGTCGGCTCAGCCTCATGAGTACCCGGTGCTGTGTGCGCACACGTCAATACTGTAGAAACAAACTTAGCCAGACGTGGCGCTCGCTAACAGCATTTGTCCCAAGAGTCTATGTACGATGCACGGGAGATTTGTGTTTTTGTTGTGCAGTGTACGATGTGATCAGTTCCTTGAGTGCACAGGGAAAACCCCAGTGGCAAGGTTCTTCAGGAGAGTCCTGCGTTGCATTGACCATAACGTTCAGAGGTGTGTGCACGTTTGAACTAAGCACCATTTGCATGTGTGCTGGCACATCCTCATACATACGCTGCACAGGTGTGTGCACGCACACGTGTGTGCAGAGCAAGCAGCTCGTGATGACACGCTGACACAGAGTGGCGCTCCCCACGTCCACGCTGCCCGCCTACACCAACTGGCATTGACCAGAGTAGCGAAGTATGGTTCGGTCACCCCCACGGCCGGTGTGATGTGAAGTGGATTTACAAAAGTGTAAACGCACTGTGTGTTAAATACTGAATGGCAACAACGTTAAATAGTCCACGTATACACGTACACACACAACTTAGATATTTTACATGAATGTATCCCCCACCACAAATGCTAATTTTGCATTAGTTTCTGATTTCTCCCCAGTAAACAGGCTACGTTGGGTCTACGTTAGCATATGGTTGAAAACGTGGGACCAACGTTGGCCCAACCTTCCATGTTCACTGGGTGCACATCAGCAGGCGTGGTGGTGGCAGCTTTAAGGAACGGCGCTGGTGAATAACGAAGAGGTCCCAACCGTGGGCCGTGAAACTGAAAAACAAAACCCCACTGCCACTTGCAGTGAGGTGGCCGGGAAGACGTCAGCACAGCGGGTGGGATTCTTGCACCCATCTGTGCGGCCCCACTAGAGCACCGTCTTCTCATATGGGGGCAGGGGGGTCCTCACGAATCTTCTTTGCCACTCATTCAATATCACAGAGACAAACATCCCAAGGCAGGACCCTCCTCCCAATGAGAGTGTTGAGACTCGTTAAGGCTTTGCCGAGTGAAATATTGTTAAACATTATGCAGCATTGTACTTTGCACGTATAACATACGTGGTAGATGCGTGCATCGTACGTATACCATGCTGACCACTCTCCTGTATGGCGCTGAGTCCTGGGTCAAGTACCGTCGTCACCTGAGTCTCCTCGGGCGTTTCCATCAGCGCTGCCTCCGCACAATCTTCAATATTTCACTGGAGTGACTTCGTCGCCAACACTGGAGGTCACCAGCATCGAGGCCATGGTCCTCAAGATACAGCTTCGCTGGGCAGGGCACATCGCCAGGATGGAGAACCACCGCTTGCCTAAGATTGTGCTGCATGGGGAACTGCCCTCTGGCCATCGCGACACAGGGGCACCACGAAAGCGATACAAAGACTCCCTGAAGAAGTCCCTCACTGCTTGCTGCATCGATCACCGTCAGTGGGCAACACAAGCAGCCGATCGCAACTCCTGGCGGCACACAGTCCACCAGGCCACCTCCTTCTTCGAAGATACCCGCAGGGCCCGTATGGAGGACAAAAGGAGAAGGAGGAAGAACCGTGATCCCTTGGCACCCATCCCAGATCAGACCTACACTTGCAGCAGTTGTTGTGGCAGGACCTGCCTGTCCCGCATAGGCCTCGTCAGCCACCAGCGTGCCTGCAGAAGACGTGGGTGTCCTTCCTAGATCTTCGTTCGTGAAGCAAAGCCATGATGATGATGACGACGTATACCATAGACTCGTAGATGTCCTGTAGGATGCGTGTGCATGCTGTCTGTAGTCAACTGAATGTAGAGAGGGCGCTACAATCGCAATCGCCACGTGTGTGATGAACAAGAGACGCAATCAGGACACCATTCCCCTCGTACGCAGTGTGCACGTTGTGTACACATAGGTGTACAGTACAACACACTTGTAAACATGTTAAATCAGCTGCTACAGGATCAATTCTGACAGTGAATAATGCAGGATGTAGACTGCAGCACGCTATTATAAAAACGTGCATTACATAAGCTTCTCTCTCGTACTCACTGCGGTACATGACACCAATATCGTCCCTTAATAATTCACAACCCTTTTTATTATTCACTTTTGGATGAAGGCCTCCCAACGCGGCACCGTCAGTCGACACGTAATGACAGAAGCGAGTAATCATTCGCTAAGTGCCTGTGCCAGGCTAGGTGCACCAAGAGTATACAATGTGTAGAGAATGTGTACACACGTGTACACGTGCTTACACGACACACCACGAATACAGTACACCGCGAATACAGTACACACGAATACAGTACACCAGGAATGCAGCACACATGAATACAGTACACACGAATACAGTACACACGAATACAGTACGTACTGTACAGTACACCGGGGGTACAGTACACCGTGGGTACAGTACACCACACGATGGTACAGTGTACAGTTGCTGTGCCCCCCTCGATTAATCGTTACAGTGTCCAGCGCGGACAGTAGACACTCCGCAGTCTATGGATTTACACTGTACATAACACACACACTGTACACAACACACACACTATACAGGACAGGATACTCAAACTAATGGGGATGTACGGTACACAATACACCCAACACGGTACACGCACAGTATGTACTGCATGCTGTACACACACAGTGAACACACATACTACAGTGTACACAAAACACACATGACGTACACAACATGTGTTGTAGCGCACACAGCACACACGCACAGCTGGTACGCACGGTACACCGACATGTAAACATTACACACAGCACAGTGTGTGTGTGTAACACATCACACACACAGTACACACACACCACACAACACAGTACACACACAGTACACACACACCACACAACACAGTACACACACAGTACACACACAACACACAGTACACACACAGTACACACACAACACAGTACACACACACAAACAACACAGTACACACACACAAACAACACAGTACACACACACAAACAACACAGTACACACACACAAACAACACAGTACACACACAACACAGTACACACACAACCCAGTACACACACAACACAGTACACACACCACACAGTACACACACAACCCAGTACACACACAACACAGTACACACACCACACACAACACAGTACACACACCACACACAACACAGTACACACACAACACAGTACACACACAACACAGTACACACACAACACAGTACACACACACACAACACAGTACACACACACAACACAGTACACACACACACAACACAGTACACACACACAACACAGTACACACACACACAACACAGTACACCCACACACACACAACACAGTACACACACAACACAGTACACACACACAACACAGTACACACACACAACAGTACACCCACACAACAGTACACACACAACACAGTACACACACGCAACAGTACACCCACACAACAGTACACACACACAACAGTACACACACAACACAATGCACACAGTACAGACTCTATACTGTACATCAGATACACAATACGGTGTACACACCGAGAACACAGGCACCACACTAACTCTACAATGCCTACACATTTCATACAATGCAGTACACTTACCGAGTACGCACAGACACTACACACACGCAAACAGTACTCGCATTATTATACAACGCAAACCACATCGCACAAACAATACAGCACACACACACCATACACTCTCCCATTAGGATAACAGCACACACACCACACTCACCACACGGTACACACTCACCACACGGTACACTCAGCTCACAATCACTCACACAACACGGTACACATACACACCACACTCCTCTCTCCCATTGGGATAACACAATTCACAGCACACACACCACACGGTACACACAGCACACATTCACCACACGGTACACACTCAAACACCACACGGTACACACTCACACACCACACTCCTCTCTCCTATTGGGATAACACAATACATATCACACACACACAGTACACACAGCACACACTCACTCACACCACACGGTACTCTCCCCATGAGGATAGCCACACAACAATGAAGCGACCACCGCTCCGTGCCGCACGCAGCACGGCTGCTGTACTCACCCCGCTGTGTGCTGCTGCTGCTGCAGCAGGCCGTGGTGGTGGTGGTGGGGAGTACACGTGGTGGTAGTGGTGAGTACACGTGGTGGTGGTGGTGAGTGGTGGTGGTGAGTGGTGGTGGTGAGTACACGTGGTGGTGGTGAGTACACGTGGTGGTGGTGTTGGTGAGTACACGTGGTGGTTGTGGGGAGTACACGTGGTGAGTACACGTGGTGGTGGTGAGTGGTGGTGGTGAGTACACGTGGTGGTGGTGTTGGTGGTACACGTGGTGGTGGTGAGTACACGTGGTGGTGGTGAGTGGTGGTGAGTACACGTGGTGGTGAGTGGTGGTGAGTGGTGGTGGTGAGTGGTGGTGATGAGGTGGTGAGTGGTGGTGATGAGGTGATGGTGGTGATGAGGTGGTGGTGAGGTGGTGGTGGTGGTGGTGAGTGGTGGTGGTGGTGGTACCTAAACGCGCACACACGTCGAGGTTGTTGTCGTCGTTAGGTCCGCTCGCCCGACTGAATGGACATCTCAAGAGGGCAGCGCTGGGCAAGCGGTGGGGGCTGGGGGCAGCGATGGGGCAGAGCAGGGCAGGGCTGGGCTGGGGGCAGGGCTGGGGTGGGCTGGGGGTAGAAGAGACGGGGGCAGAGTGGGGGGCAGAGCGGTGGGGAGAAGAGACGGGGCAGGGGGCAGGCCGGAGCAGAGGAGAGCAGCAGCGTCTGTTCCGCTTTGAACGAGAGCGCGTGTGTGTGTTGGTGTGTGTGTGTGTTGATGTGTGTGTGTTGATGTGTGTGTGTTGGTGTGTGTGTGTGTTGGTGTGTGTGTGTGTGTTGGTGTGTGTGTGTGTGTTGGTGTGTGTGTGTTGGTGTGTGTGTGTGTGTTGGTGTGTGTGTGTGTGTGTGTGTGTGTGTGTGTGTGTGTGTGTGTGTGTGTGTGTGTTGGTGTGTGTGTGTGTTGGTGTGTGTGTGTGTTGGTGTGTGTGTGTTGGTGTGTGTGTGTGTGTGTGTGTGTGTTGGTGTGTGTGTGTGTGTTGGTGTGTGTGTGTGTTGGTGTGTGTGTGTTGGTGTGTGTGTGTGTGTTGGTGTGTGTGTGTTGGTGTGTGTGTGTGTTGGTGTGTGTGTGTGTGTTGATGTGTGTGTGTGTTGGTGTGTGTGTGTTGGTGTGTGTGTGTGTGTTGGTGTGTGTGTGTGTTGGTGTGTGTGTGTTGGTGTGTGTGTGTGTGTTGGTGTGTGTGTGTGTTGGTGTGTGTGTGTTGGTGTGTGTGTTGGTGTGTGTGTTGATGTGTGTGTGTTGGTGTGTGTGTTGATGTGTGTGTGTTGGTGTGTGTGTGTGTTGATGTGTGTGTGTTGGTGTGTGTGTTGATGTGTGTGTTGGTGTGTGTGTGTTGATGTATGTGTGTGTTGGTGTGTGTGTTGATATGTGTGTGTGTTGGTGTGTGTGTTGGCGTGTGTGTGTTGATGTGTGTGTGTGTTGGTGTGTGTGTGTGTTGGTGTGTGTGTGTTGGTGTGTGTGTGTTGGTGTGTGTGTGTTGGTGTGTGTGTTGATATGTGTGTGTGTTGGTGTGTGTTGATGTATGTGTGTGTTGGTGTGTGTGTTGATATGTGTGTGTGTTGGTGTGTGTGTGTTGGTGTGTGTGTGTTGGCGTGTGTGTGTTGATGTGTGTGTGTGTTGGTGTGTGTGTGTGTTGGTGTGTGTGTGTTGGTGTGTGTGTGTTGGTGTGTGTGTTGGTGTGTGTGTGTTGGTGTGTGTGTGTTGGTGTGTGTGTTGATGTGTGTGTTGGTGTGTGTGTGTTGATGTGTGTGTGTGTTGGTGTGTGTTGGTGTGTGTTGGTGTGTGTGTGTTGATGTATGTGTGTTGGTGTGTGTGTGTTGGCGTGTGTGTGTTGATGTGTGTGTGTGTTGGTGTGTGTGTGTTGGTGTGTGTGTGTTGGTGTGTGTGTGTGTTGGTGTGTGTGTTGATGTGTGTGTGTGTTGGTGTGTGTGTGTGTTGATGTGTGTGTGTTGGTGTGTGTGTGTTGGTGTGTGTGTGTTGGTGTGTGTGTTGATGTGTGTGTGTTGGTGTGTGTGTGTGTTGATGTGTGTGTGTTGGTGTGTGTGTGTTGGTGTGTGTGTGTTGATGTGTGTGTGTGTTGGTGTGTGTTGGTGTTGGTGTGTGTGTGTTGGTGTTGATGTGTGCGTGTTGACGTGTGTGAGTGTTGATGTGTGTTGGTGTGTGTGTGTGAGTTGGCGTGTGTGTTGGTGTGTGTGTTGGTGTGTGTGTGTGTGTTGGTGTGTGTGTGTTGATGTGTGTGTGTGTGTTGGTGTGTGTGTTGGCGTGTCAGTGCCTGTGTCTGGGTATGTGCGTGTCTTGGGAAATGAGAACGTGTGTGTGAGTATCCATGTGTATGTTTGTTACTTGTGTGTGTGCGTGTCTGGATTTATGTGCGTCTGTCTTTGCTTGGGAATGAGAATGTCAGCGTGTGTGTGTCACTGTGTCAGTGTGTGTGTCACAGTCTCACTGTGTGTCACTGTGTGCGTGTAGGATCTTTATTGTGGGGAGCGGTGGTGCAGCGGTTAGCGCTGAACCGGTCCTGGGCCTTCCCTAGGTCGACTCAACCTCAAATGAGTACCCGGTGCGGTGTGTCAACATCGCCACTGGGGAGACAAAGGCGGCCGGGCGTGGTGCTGACCACCCACCCCCTCGTGTGCCGTGCCGGACTTCATAGGTGCTCGCTAACAGCACTTGCCCCTACAGACTGTTCAGGCTACACGGGGGACCTTTGTCTCGTGTAAGGAGTGAGAATACCTGGGCATGTGTGTCAGTGTGGGTCTGGGAGTGTGTCACCCACCCTGTGTGAGTGTGTGTACGTGCCTGGGTATTCGTGAGTGTGTTCGTCGGTGTGTGCGTGATACCAGCGGTGTCAAGATCGCTGTGGAGATGGAGGCAGTCGCCCTCCAGCAACAACGGAGGGCAGAGGAGCCACGCTCACAACAACGAGCGGAGCGCCGGGCGGATAAAACGCAGAGATGGCAGAGTGGGGAGCACAGGTGGTGCATCTGCCAGTCATCTCGGTCAGTCAACGCCAGGTTTATTTCGCGACATCCTCCCAGCAGCGAGCCCTTCCACACTTCACGTGGCCTCAAAGTGCACCTGGCCTGGCACAGGCGCTGCGGTGACGTCACTTAATGGTTCTTGTTGTTGTTGTTGTGAGAGTTTTGGCGTTGTGAGAATCCATTTGGAGCTCAAACAACAACCGCGCGATCTGACCAGCACAATGTTGGCCACACAGGACCCCCCCCCCCCGGGACCCCCCCCCCCCCAACACCCCCCCACACCCCCCCCACACCCCCCCCCCACCACCCCCACACCCCCCCCCCACCACCCCCCCCCCACCCCCACCCCCCCCCACCACCCCCCACCACACCCCCCCCCCCCCCAGTGTTGATGGTTCACCTGCAGACGACTCACCTGCGATCACCGCATCGCCCACCACACCCCTAGCTGGAGCACCACGTGGCAGGCCCCTCCTGGCAAAGAGACTCGGGACTCGGTGAGGCTTTGGCTGGGTAAACAAGCGGAGTCGTCATTCTCGTGCTTTGAGAGACTCTGTGTGTGTCTCAGCGTTTATCCGATGCGTGCGTGATGATGACTTCTGTGAGAGGGAGCGGCGGCGCAGTGGTTAGCGCACTCCCCGACGACCACCGCAAACCCGGGTTCGATTCCCGTTCACGGCCAACACCGTTGACGATTATCTAAACCGGTCATGGGCCTCCCCTAGGTCGACTCAGCCTCAAATGAGTACCTGGTGCTATGTGTAAACATCGCCACTGGGGAGACAAAGGCGGCCGGGCGTGGTGCTGGTCACTCACCCCCTCGTGTATCGTTCCGGCCTTCATAGGTGCTCGCTAACAGCACTTGCCCCAACAGCCTGTTAAGACTATATGGGGGATCTTTGTCTTTGTGCATCTGTAATAGTTGGTCGTTGGCTGCCCACCTGAGTTAGACTCCTGGTTACTTACCACCAATAGCAATCGAAATCTGAAACTCGGCATCCTCGAATAGGTTGACTCAGCCCTAACTGGTATGCTCAATACCACCACCACCTTATGTCCCTACTAGCCTTGGTAAGTGCTCGCTGACACGCATAGCCCAAGCGTGATGGATTAATAGGATGTCTGTGTGTGTACGTGTACACGTGTGTGTAGTGTGTGGGTATACACGTATGTGTGTGTGTGCACCTATTTAAGGCACCGCTTTGTCTGATGCCCAATTCGCGCTCGCCCCCTGGCGGACTGAACGTGAAACCACTCGTGGGCAGGGACCCCCGACTGAAGCCACAGCCACACCGAGGTCGGTGCGCCCTCTCACAGTCAGTGGAAATTCCATTCTCATAAGGCAGAGACGAGTTTTCCCCAAGGACAAACACTGTTGACCTCTCACGAAGTCGTTTTATCGACGCTGCGGAGATGATGGGCCGAGGTAATGCCTGACCGAGAATTGAACTGTCCACCTGCCGACTGCGACGTGCTCACCGTGTCAATCGCTAATGGATCGATTCGGGTGCACTTTTTAAGGAGGCGGCTACTTAATCATCACGGTCTTCATCAGCCATGAGCTGCCCACTGCAGACTCCTCAAGCCGTCGGCATCTCTCGCGGTCTCACAAAGAAAACATTCCATCTGGCTCCTGCACACGCGCTGGATCTCATGGCTCCGTCCGCGGGAGACGCGTTCCTCGCCACGACTCTTGCGACCGTGCCGTGTACAAATATTAAACGCGTCAAGGTGAGAAATGCCCCGCGGTATCCCAGCAAGGAGGACGATGATACAAGCCGATGTGTGTTTTATTTCGAGAACTACTTGACACTTTGTCACAATGACTAGATACAGTAAGTGTATACGCTAATATTAAATAAGTTACATCTTCATGATCAAGCTTTTTACATTATGTATAAAATACCAAGCTCACATTTACATGTTTTAAAATGAAGGTATACACTGATGCTGACGTTTCAGAGCATTGACACATTCGGTACTAAACTCACATTTGACGCAACCCTCCGCACCACTCCCGTCAACTCCGTCCACGTTATCCATAAAACACCGCGCTTCACGTGCGCCATCGAGACCACTGCGCGTTATAAATAAGTTCGCTGCCATTCCACCGTAGAGGAGTGCCATTGTGTCTGACAATCCACTCCCAGTGAGACTGACATTCAATCCGGGGCTGCCAAACGCAGCAAAAAACATTCAACTGAACAAAGCAAACAATTAACATAAGTCAACCAAAAACACGAACTTATTTTTATTCATAATACATTTCTTTCTGGTTAGATCGTGTGGATATGTCAATATCTAACTATAACCCTTCAGTATCTGACAGAGCCAATCAAATCAACTTCTCACGTGGGAAAAATATACCAATTGATTTGATTATTCAGCCGACCGGAATTTTGAAAAGCGAGCAAAATTTTGACGAGATTTTATTTTGTCTGGTAGATATATTCCTTGGCTGTGTGTCCACGGCTGTCAAACACGAGTGTGTATCGTTGTTAATGGGAGGAATGCGCTTCTACGTTAAGTCAAGCGTGTTGACGTAGCGTACTCTGGCGGCGATGTCACACATCGGCAGCTCACATTCTCTTCTGCTGCCCTGCTCCCAACATCGTTTGGGATTATCTTGCTTCGAATAAAGAGCACGGTCCGCGGGGCAGTGCATTTGTTTTGTTTCTGCTTTTGTTACTGTGGTGACCCAGGTCACCCTTGCAAATGAGACTCTGGAGTTCTCACCCAAGTGACACGAAATCAACTCGAACTTGAACTCGCCCTACCCTTGCAAAAAGCTCGCACAGAGTTCTGTAAGCAGTTCAACTAAATCAGGATCCGGGCAGGAGGGGTCCATCTGCGGTTGGCATCGACCAACCGAAGATTCCAAGCTGCCACCCCCCCCCTTCCCCCGTCATTTTGAGGAATGCGTCTTCTTGTGGTAGTTGAGTCCCGCGTACTGCGAGAACCCACGGCCGCAAACGGGACACACGAAGGGCTTTTCGCCCGTGTGCATGCGCATGTGCTGCGTTAGGTAGGAGGCTCGCGCGAACGCCTTCCCGCACTGCTGGCACGCGTGCGGCTTCACGCCGCTGTGCACCGTGCGGTGGCGGGCTAGGTGTGACGTGTGGGAAAACGCCACGCCGCACTTGTTGCACACGTGCGGCTTCTCGCCCGTGTGGATGCGGCGGTGCTGCCCCAGGTAGGCCGAGTTGGCGAAGGCCTTGCCGCACACCTCGCAGATGTACGGTTTCTCGTCCGAGTGCGACTTGCGATGCAGCGACATGGACGAGTACTGGGTGAAGCGCTTCCCGCACACACCGCACGCGTACGGCCGCTCGCCCGTGTGCGTCCGTCGGTGGATGTAGAGGTAGGCCGAGCGCGAGAACGTCTTGCCGCACTCGTCGCACATGTAGGGCTTCTCGCCCGTGTGCTTCAGCTTGTGAAACTTGAGCGACAGCGAGTAGTTGAACTTCTCCCCGCACACGTCGCAGGCGTAGGGCATGTCGCCCGTGTGGATGCGCATGTGCTGCGCCAGGTACGACGACTGGGCGAAGCTCTTGCCGCACTGCAGGCACAGGAACGGCTTCTCGCCGTTGTGCTTCCGCATATGCTTGGTGAACGCCGACGACTGCATGAACGCGCGGCCGCACACCGCGCACTTGTACGGCTGCTGCTGCTGCTCCCCGTGCATCCCCTTGTGGTGGTTGAAGTAGTTCAGCGTCTTGAAGCCCTTGCCGCACTGCTCGCAGCTGTAAGGCTTCTCCCTGGCTTTGCCGGCTCGCGACACTCGGGTTTTGGCGCGTCGCTTGTTCCCACCTTTCCTCTTGCTCTCGTCGAGCACGCCGCTCGCCGCTTCCCGCGACTCGTCCCGATCGGTCGGTTGCGGCGCCCCCTCCTCTTCGGGCGGTACCTTGTCGTTAGCATCGCCAGTGCCTTCCCGGGCCGGGTCGGGTGGAGGGGCGGCTTCTCCCCGCTCCGGGGCGTCTCCGCTCGGCAAGCGGCGCTCGGTCGAGCTCTCCCTGGACGAGCAGTCCCTCGCCGATGACGACGATGATGATGAGGAGGAGTCCTCGGCTGAGGAGGGGGCTGCCGGGGACGGGACTGGCGACGACGCGCTCGAAGCGACGGCCACCACCGCCGCCGCGGCCGCCTCGGCCGCCTCGGTCACCGCCGCTTCGCCAGTGTCGCTCTCGGCGCCGGAATTGGAGTCATCTGCTGCATCTCCTGCGCTCCAGCAGTCTAAACAGAAGCCGAGCAGAAGCAGAGCACAGCAACACAACGTTCACGTGGCGGGGGGGGGGGGCGACGTGCTCAGCCAGGCATTGCGGTGGAGGAGAACGCAAGTGAGTGGAAGAGTAGACTGTAGGGCCCAGCAGACAACTTACTATTTGATAATAGGTTTTTCCCCTTTTTTCTGGCAACAAAACGGGTGTTAAGATGTTAAAACACCAAACTGAAACCTTTTACAAGGAATCATGTCTGCATTAACCACAATACTTGTGGTCAGAATGCAAACAAACAAAAAACATACTCTGATAATAAATGCATTGTCTTTGAAACTGATTGGTCCACACCAGAGACAGCTTTCTTTGTTCGATCAGAGAACGCCAAAAGGCGTACAGCACAAAGACACTATCAGAGTAATGAGAGCTCGGGGTGAGCAGCTACATCATGGGACCTCCTTTGCCAGTACCAAAATATGATAATAGGTTTTCCCCTAAAAGGTTTCAGTTTAGTGTTTTAAAATCTTAACACCTGTTTTGTTGCCAGAAAAAAGGGGAAAACCTATTATCATATTTTGGTATTGGCAAAGGAGGTCCCATGATGTAACTTACTATTTGCCTGGTGGAGAAAAACACATCTATGAACGTCTCTTCGAGCCCATTTTGCAAGCATAGCAGAGTGGGCCAAATACCCCCTTATATTGGTACAAGCCTCACGTAAAATGTCACATTTATTTTCGTTCATGATGGCGTTATACCTTTGAAACGTGTGTTTGGGCGGTACCGCGTGTTTTGAATGCTGTCCAACGTTTCGCTCCACGTGCCGGAACCGAATTAATTCCGAATCGATCTCCAAGAAGCTCCCAGCACGCGAAGCGAATCGTCCGACATCGCGGGAACTGCGCAGCACAACCGCGGAAGCCTGCGCAGCGGTGTGACCGGCAGCGCTCTGCCGCTCCCTCTCACACGGCGGACTGCCTCTCACCCTCGCAACTCCGCTGCTCCTCGTTATCGTCACCCTGGCCGCCCTCTTCGTCCTCCTCGTCCTCCTCCTCCTGCTTGATGGCTCTGAGCAGCTGCTTGAGTCCGCTGACGCGCTCGGCGCGGTAGCGCGCCACCGGCGGGGCGCTCGTCGCCGCACCCCTCACGGACTCGCTCCTCGAGGTGCCGGCCATGTCCTGCTGGGACACCACCACCATCAATGTCGCGGGAGGAAGAGCCAAGTCCTTCATTACTCAGGAAAGCCTCGGTGGACAAACATCCTGGACATCGGGATGTTTGGCCATTTCCACAAATGGGTATTTGGCTGCGTGTGGGAGGAAACCACATCGCCGAGAGGAAGCCAGTTTCACACAGGAAGGAATAACAAAGTTAGCCCTCGGTCCACAGCAATGGGGGCCACGAACCCCACTGACTGCACTGCCACCTCCTCCTCCTGCCCACCGTGACCAATGTATGTTGAACTTCGCCGTGCGTATCCGACCGTCCTGATTGCAACAATGAATGAACGCGTTTCTATTTACTACCGCACTGTGCTCGTCACGTGTGCATCTCACAGGCGCGGGCGGTGAAGTTGACAAAGCCTCTCCATTACTCTAGCGTCAGTCAAATCAGTACCACTCTGTGGAAAGCGACCCGACTATTGCCTGGTGGACAGACTGGGCCCCGCCATAGCAAGATGTAATTGCCGGCAAGTTATTAGGGTTGTGGACCAGAGATGTGAGCGCCGTACCGCGCTCGTCTGAGCATGAGGCCACCTTCTCGACATGCGTGTTCATCGTCCATGCCGAGTTCAAATCATCAACAGACATGACTGTGTGTCAAGGTGCAGCCTTGTCCACATTTTAAATACATTGTCCGTGACCAAGCCCAAGTGAAAGCGTCACCTTGCCATCATATTCAGTCGGTGGATGATGATTATTGCGCATCGCAGATGACTCGAGGTGGTGGCGTCTTGGGGGGGGGGGGGGGGAGAAAACCTTCACTCAGCAGCGGATTGACCACAGCTGCTCCCGTGTAAGGTCACGGGTCACGAAACTTGACCTTTGACCTTACAAAGCGTCGTGGGTACAACGCAGACACGGGGGCCACAACTGCGCGGGGCCCACGTCCCTCCCCAGTGAACACGAGGACTTGTTGGCCCAGCGCACGCCCAACGTGGCCCCAACGTTGGGGCAACGTCTGCAATGTTTACGGGGCTCACCTTGATCACAACTCGGGGGCCGTGGTGGAAACCTGGGGGGGGGGGGGAGACGCGAGGTCCCTGGCTGCTGCTGCTCCTGCTGTTGCCCCTGGCCCGTGGCGTCTTCTCTACGGGACCGGGGAGACCATGGCCAGCTGCGCGGGGAGACGGAGAGAGAAGGTGATGGTGGGGGTGGTGGGGAGAGGGAATGGTGGTAGAGAGTGATAGGAGGAGGATGCTGAGCGAGGTGGGTGATGGAGGAGAGCGGCAGGAGGTGACGCGGGGCGGAAAAGGACCCCGGCGCGACCCGGCAGTGATGGGGCGGGAGGAGGAGGAGGGGGGGGACACGCGGCCCGGCTGACATCAACATCATCACACGACCCTCATCACACGACCCACATCACACGACCCTCATCACAGTCCACATCACACGACCCTCATCACAGTCCACATCACACGACCCTCATCACAGTCCACATCACTACCCACATCACACGATCCACATCACACAACCCTCATCACACGATCCACATCACACAACCCTCATCACACGACCCTCATCACACGACCCTCATCACTACCCACATCACTACCCACATCACACGATCCACATCACACAACCCTCATCACACAACCCTCGTCACTACCCACATCACTACCCACATCACACGATCCACATCACACTACCCACATCACACAACCCTCATCACACGACCCTCATCACACAACCCTCATCACTACCCACATCACACGACCCTCATCACAGTCCACATCACTACCCACATCACACGATCCACATCACACAACCCTCATCACACAACCCTCATCACTACCCACATCACACAACCCTCATCACACAACCCTCATCACACAACCCTCATCACTACCCACATCACACAACCCTCATCACTACCCACATCACACAACCCACATCACTACCCTCATCACACGACCCACATCACTACCCACATCACACAATCCACATCACACAACCCTCGTCACTACCCACATCACACAACCCTCGTCACTACCGATATCGCCACTGCGCTTACTTAACATCGTGTCACCATCATCACCATCGCTTCATTGTGGCTGAGCTGACCACATCATCTCTGAGCCGGCACTCCACTCGACTGTTCCGTACGACGATTCGAGACGTGCTGTGCACAAAATCCGCGTGTTTCTCACCGATTCCCACTTGCAAACTAAGACATTAAAATCATCACTTCAGTCGGAGCGCAGAACGCTTTTAGAACGAGTTGGCGACTTAAGATAACGCGGAGTGGCAACTCTAGAATGACGAAGGCGATGATGGCGATGCCGTGACACCCGTGGTGACAACACGGGGATCGTACGAGGACGACGATCTTCATTCAGCCCCCCGCCCGTCTGCAGGGGGGCACCTGAGCCCCCCCCCCCCCCAGGTACGAGCTGCGAGATTGCGAAGTCTCTCCCACTGATTGCTGCTTCCACGTTGGGCCCCATGCGACCGGCACGCGACGTGGGGCGTCTGTGATGTATCGTGTGCCGATACCGGAAGAATCCGATGAGCCGTCGAGTTATTTTATTTCTCACAGATCTCCACGAGTTGTCACAGATGTCACCCACGGCACCGTTGCCTTTCCGTGGCACAGTCCGGTGGCAATGTCGACTTCCTTTCCTTGTGTCCTCATTTCCCTTCTGCGGCATTCACTTGGAGTCTCCTTAACCGCACTGGGAGTCTCATTCTTCACCTCACTTGAAATGATGTTTCGGCCGTTCTCGTGCAGCGAACGCTTTATTACAATCACGGGAGCGCAGGCCACCATGGACCTCGGGCCGCCCCTGGCTCTCTCGACCCCTCTGGGCCCTCCGGCCGTCGTGTGGCCCTCTTCGTACCTCGTGTCCACGCTGGGCCCTCCCTCCTCCAGGCTCCGTGTCACCCACTCCGATACCTCTAGACCAGAGCTTTGGGCAGCTGGGCACATCAAGTCACGATGGCCCGAAACGCCAAGTGGCCAGCGACAAACAGCAATATCAAAGTTGTGCTAGATTCGAGTTGTCAGCACGTTTCTTGAGTAGAGCCAGGTTATTGTCGGCGCTTAATAAAATAAACGATGGGACGTAAATATAAAGTGGAGCAGTGTGAGGAAGTAGCAGAAAGAGAAGCACTCTGATGTGCAGTGTGGTGAGTGAGTGAGTAGGTGAGTGTGTGAGGGAGTGTGTTGCTGTGACCTGCAGTGTGATGAGTGGGTGTGTGAGTGTGTTGCTGTGACCTGCAGTGTGGTGAGTGAGTGGGTGAGTGAGTGTGTTGCTGTGACCTGCAGTGTGGTGAGTGAATGGGTGACTGAGTGGGTGTGTTGCTGTGACCTGCAGTGTGGTGGTTGGACACGGTGCTGATGTGACGGAACAGTCAGTGTGGTAGACCAAGGTTGCCGCTGACTCAATCTGGTGCCGTCTCGTTCCTGTCGCCGCAGGATGATGAACGAGATGAACCTCAACGTTCCGGGGATGGAGTCGATGGGAGGTGGTGGAGGCGGGGGGTCTCACCTTGGCCTGGCCTCGCCGTCGCACAGCTCCATCACGCCCACGGGTGAGCCTTCCAGGCCTCGGCACTCGACGTGGTTTGTCGCTCAGTCGCCGTAGCCAGCCTCGCTGAGGGCAGGGACACTGTTGAAGTGATCGCGCGTCACAGCGGTGAGCTGCTCCTGGTGGTGGTGGTTGGTCGAAGTTCACTTGGCTTTCCACAATGGACTCTCCGATGTGGTTCTCGCTGTCGGTCACGCTCTTTTACGGGAAAGTAACGCATACAGTCATTCAAAACCTTTAATTTGAACCAATTATAATCAGCCATGACCTATTTACTGCTAAATGAAAGGCCTCTAAGCATTTTTGTCTCTCAGTGTCTCGCGACGCAACAATCCGACAAACTTCTCCGCACGATCTGATTTCTTTGCTCCAAATCCGCGACGGTTGTCCTCTCAGGCATGTTCCCTCCTCTCCACCGTTAACCTCAACCACCGGCCACCGTCCCGTCCGTGATGTATCCTGGCCCACTTTTCTTAACCGTCCATATGGCATCTCTGGCTTGCGTACGTTCTCTAATCCATGTGTTCCTGTTCCGAGCTTCTTTTGCCCACTTTCGATGGCGGTGTTTACGATCCGTATGTCACATTCAATGCAGTGATTCATTGTTGTACGCCTACTTTGAAAGGCCCCACTTTAGTGAAAGCGTGCGGTGTGGTGACAAGATCTGATGACGGGTCGTTGGTTACGCCGTGCCGTCCGCGCAGGCATGGCGGTGTCCATCCCGAGCCTGCCGCCCGCCATCGGCTCGCTCTCCTCCGCCCTCTCGCTCGTGCTGCCCCTGGGCCTGGGGGACCGCGGCGTCGTGTGCAACGTGCCCCCTGACAGGAACTACCCGCTCCCGCCACCGTACCCGCACGTGGAAAGCGGCTACATCCGGCACATCCTGCCTGGTGCGCCTCCATCCCTGCCTCCCTCCCTCCGTCGGTGGTGCCACTTGGGAGCGTTTCGGCAACATGCCCATTCTCCGGAACAAAAAATGGCTTGAGCCAATCAAACGCATTCAAGGCGTAATTGTTGAGGTTGAGCTCCCCGGCGAGTCTATGAATCGCCAAGATTCAGATTTTCCATCTCATATGCATTGTTTTACGATCATGTTTGGTTCTATAGTGGTCTGTTCTGGTCTTCCACATCATGGGTACACAATTTTTCATACGCATTTTGTACATCATTGATTCTCACACGCACAATTCTACGCATTGTATCGTGAGCAAAATAATTTCTCTAGGGCAGAGGTCAGCAACCTGCGGCTCCGGAGCCGTATGCGGTTCTTTCAGGGCTGCTTTGTGACGTGATTAATTAAGGACCCACCGTCTCGTATTCACAGGTATTTCTGCTCTTGAAATATTGAGTTTCTTACAGAATTCGAAAAAAATTACTCTTCCTGTTATTTTGTTTGCCGACCCGTGCTCTAGGGTGACGAAGAGCGCACGGTTATATTATGCCTGTTACAAAGCTAAAGCAAATTAGCAGGCGTGTGTCATTGCTTGTGCTGTAGAGCCTATTGAGAGGGTGGCACCAGAGGGTGATGCCCCCACCGTCTGTCTGCGCGCTCGCGCTCCAACGTCGTCGGAATCCACGTCGAGTCGTTTAAACCTGCTGCCCTGGCCGCTCGCCGCAGGGATCCTGTCCTACCTGGCGGACCGGCCGCCACCGCAGTACGTGCACCCGGGGCCCGGCGCCGTGGAGGCCGGCGCCGCGGCCGTGCCCTTGGCCCACAGCGTGGCGGCGGCCGCGGCCGCGGCTGCGGCTGCGGCGGCCGCCGGCCTGGAGCACTACCACCCGGGCGACTCGCTCGGCCTCGAGGCCGCCAAGGCCCAGCTCGACGCAGCCGCCGAGCGGAGCCCGACGCCGCCCGGCAGCCCCCACCGGGCCGACGACGCCAACGCCGCCGCCGCGGCGCAGCAGCACCACCACCATCGGCACCACTCGCCGCACGGCCACCCGCACCACCCGCACAGCCACCACCTCCCGCTGCACCACCACCACCACCACCTGCACCACCACCACCACCACCACGGCCAGCACCACCACGCGCAGCTGCATCACCACCATCACCACGTGGAGACGCACATCGCCATCGACTGCGTCTCCAGGTGAGCTGCACAGCGGTGCGTGTGGTTACACTGCTCGGGGGTTGTCTCGATCGTTGTAACGGAGTGAATTAGGAAGGTTGGTGGCAGCAGGCAATTGGATCTAAGGTGGTGTTGTGGTGTTCGCGTGCATGCATGTGTGTGTATACGCGTGTGTGTGTCTGTGTTTTTCGGCGGGGTGCGGATGTGTTTGTTCATGCATGTGAGGAGCGGTGACCGGGCTGCGCGATCGGGCAACCTGAGTTCCATTCCCAATCACGGCTAACATCAGTGGCAAGTGATGTCTGAACTGGTTCTGCACATTGTCCAGGCCGCACCACCCCCTCGTACACCATTCGCGTTTTCTCAGGTGCTCGCTAACAGCATTTACCCAAAGTCTGTTAAAGGCTGTGCGAGGTGCCTTTGTCCGCTGCTGTGTGCGTGCGCATGTCAGATCGAGCAGGGCCCCGAGCCCGGCCTCCCCGAGCTGCGGGGCAGCGATGGACGCCACCGCCGACTCGCTCGCCATGGAGGGTGTGACCCATGACCCCGACACGCCGGGCCTAGGCGGACACTCCGCCTCCCTGGAGCTTCCGGTCGTCATCGACGCCAGCGACTACCAGGACAGCTGCCGAGACGACGAGGACGACGGCGATGACGATGAGGATGGGCGCGTTGAGCAGCAGGCGGCAGTCGTGAGCAGGTGCGTGGCTGAGCAAACCCCACACAGGTTTGACATGCTGCCAGCGTCTGCAGTAAACTACAACTGCGTTTCCATGACCCACAATTTGCTTCTTTTAATGTCAAAGTTGGGCCCGAGCGAAGAGGCGGTCCCTAAATGTCAACCAAAGACGTCGTTGGTGGCACCAAGGTTTCATTTCACATTCTGCTTAACAGCTACAACGTTCCACTTTTAACGTTGTCAGCAACGCAACCTGCCCAACTTATGCAAGAGACTGTTAAAGGCAGCACGGGGGATCTTTGTCTTCGTGGTCCTGAAGGCTGAACTGAATATTTACCCTTCTGTGTGCATGTGCGTGTGCGTGCGTGTGCACCCATGTATGTGCGCGCATGTGAATACTTATGCGTTCCATGTGCGTGCATGCGCGTACGTGTTGTTAAAGATGCGGCACGGTGCAGGTGCTCCAGGCCGTGAGCTCCATCGTGCTGGAGCCCGTGGAGTTGCCCCCAGGGCTCCACCACAGCGGCCGCGCCCCGCTCGCCAGCTCCACCGACCCCTCCTCGGAGGGCGGTGGCCACGCAGCGGGGCTGGCGCTGGCGCCCGCCAACTCGGTGCGCCTCGCGGGGCCGGGGGAGGAGATGCGCGGCGCGGCGCTGCAGCGCGAGGGGATGGCGCACGAGGACAGATCCGTGTGTGAGTACGTCGCGCGCGTCACGTTTCAAGTACCACCCTTAGTGGCTTAAAATAAAGTGCAACGTCCGCAGATCTGACTCGCTGGGAACTGAGCTGCAGGCAGAACTGTGTCACTGGACACCAAGCGCACACTGCTCTAATCGTGGGGAAATGCTTTCCTGTGCTTTAGCAGTGAGCGGCTATACAGCAGTAAGGCCCACTGAGCTATTTCGCTCTTTTTCAGAAGTGACCTGAGAACAAATGATGGCTCAAAAAAGTGGCTTCTTGTCACGCTTTTAAATGTGGAGGGAAAACCGGAGGACCCTAACTCTGTGTGAAAAGGTCGGATTTGTTAAAATCTGTACAAGATGACACACCGTCATACGTGAATACTGCACCGAGCGTGGGGATAGACGACAGCCGGACAGGCGACGTTTAACCGTAATCGCCTCATCACGGCCGCGGCGTCCGTCCAGAGTCAACGTCTCGCCCATGCCACCAGGGTGCCCCGTGTGCGACGACGCGTTCGAGGACGACTGCCCGACCCACGGGCCACTGACGCTCATCCCCGACTCGCCCATCGAGACGCGCGCTCGCCTCTCCCTGCCCAAGCAGCTGGCGCTCCTCTTCGCCTACGACGGCGGCGTCTCCGGTTCGTGGCCCGCGTGGCGCCCACGGTTTTTCCCCGTCCTGCACGCGCTCCGTCCGTCCTCCCCTGCCTGTGGGATTTGTCCATGGCTCATTTCGTCTGTGCTCTCGAGCTAATTAATCTCAAGCGCGCGGCGAAAATCCAGAACGACGGTGGAGACGAAGATCAAAAAATGTAAATGCGGGACCGATGGTACTCGGTGACCACGCAGAAAAGCCAACGGCATCATCGGCGCCACTGAGGCCACACACCCACCAGTCCCAGGATGGACCCGAGGCTGGTGGTGGTGGTGGTCACGGGGCTGGAGGTGGTGGTTAAAAGATTGAATGTGTTTGGTGTTTGGTAGTGATGGGCGGTGACGCGGTTAAAATACCCCGTGCGAGTCGGTGCGCGCGTGTGCTTTTGTCGCTGTACGTCCACACCCCTTGCCGGTTTGTATGCGTGCGTACGTATTCGCATAAACGTTTGTGTCTCCTGTGTCTGTGCGCGTGCGTGCTTGTATGTGTCTGCATGCACGCGCGTTTGCAGGCGTGCGCACGCTGCAGGCCCTGCCCGTGCGCACGTGCTTCGGGCCGCTCACGGGCCGGCACGTGCTGCCCCAGCAGCAGGAGGCGTGGGCGCGTCTGGACATGGGCAGCCTCAACGTGTGGAAGGTGCCCGACCCTCCTCCTGCACCTCCATCATCGCACTCAGTCGCGCGCACGCCCGCGGTCCAGCGCGCTAGAGGCAAGGGAATGGCATCGAAATTCACGAATGGGGCCGTGAGTTGGCCGGGAGATGGCCGTGCAGCGATTGTGTTGGTGGCACGCAATCCCTCGGTGGGGACCGTCGGGTGTTGTCCCATCTTACGTGTGGGTTTCTCCGGATACTCCGGTTTCTTCCATTATTTAACGGAGTGTGCAGCCATGCTGCTGCTTGCGTGCGTGCTGCCTTGTTGAAATGACGGAGCCTTGTGCTGTACCTACAGATTTTTCGGGATGAGCAGCTGCAGTTCTGTGTCTGTACGGAGGACGAGGATGAGTCGAACTGGCTCTCCCTGGTACAGAGAGCCAGGTACTTGGGCCCCGCGTGTGTGTGTGTGTTCATGTCTGTTTAACACGTAGGCTTTCGCGACCAATATCATCCATAATAAGAGGTTTTTTGGGTTAGATTGCGTAAATATATAAATGTGTCGTTAAAACCCGCCACCACCCGACACAGCCAACTAGTAAGGGTTGTCACGTCAACAGAACGTGCCAATTCGTCACTAGTACAGCACACCGGTGTGTTGGAGAGCTAAGCCACAACATTCACAATCTGAGTACGATGTTTCACAGTCCGCCTGCTGGATTTTTTCTCCTGAAGACGATTGCTTGTGTTACGATCGAAACTTCGTGATTTTGTATTATTTTATTTTCTATCTACGTGACTTTACCGAAAGACCCAAAGAGTATGAATCCTTACTCGTTGGCTGTGTCGGGTGGTGGCGGGTTTTAACGACACATTTATATATTTACGCGATGTAACTTAAAAACCTCTCTTATGTGTTCATGTCTCCGTGTGTGTGGTTGTAACTATCAACCGCATCAGAACATCAACAGGCCGATGCGCACATCTCCTTCATGAATGTAAAATTTCGATTTAAAGCTTTCGTGACTGCAGGGATTCATCTTCTTGGTTCTTTCGGTAAAGTCACGTAGAAGGAAAGTAATAAAATAATAAAAATAAAACATAATAAAATAAAATAATTCTCACGACGTTTCGGCTACAACGCAAGCAGCCGTCTTCAGACGTCTTCAGACGGCTGCTTGCGTTGTAGCCGAAACGTCGTGAGAATTATTTTATTTTATTATGTTTTATTTTTATTATTTTATTACTTTCCTTCTACGTGACTTTACCGAAAGAACCAAGAAGATGAATGTAAAATTGTGCGATTGCGGCCATGAAACCCACACGATGAACCATACAGTAAACCACTATAGTTTGCACTCTTTCAACGGAGGAGGAACAGCAAAACGACACGAACTCTCTCTGCTGAAGCCCTCTCGTTGTGGCCAGCAGGCCTCTACATTGGTATCGAGCTCCTGAACCACATCGCCGGTGCCATCGAGCCCGAGAAGCCCGAGCGCGTGCCTGAGTCAAGGCCGTTGGCTGTGTGTCGCCCGTGCTTCCAGGACGTCAGAGGAGCAGAACTTGGTGGCGTACCTGCACGAGGGGAAGGTGTACCTGTGCACATCCCGTGATGTGGCGCCCTTCTCACCGCTCTACTTCTACTACTGCAGGGACTACGCACGCCAGCTGGGTGAGCTTCCCTTGCACCCCCACCACCCCCCCCCCCCCAGACACTCCATTCCACACGCACTCCTCGTAGCTCAAGAGCATTGAGCACTCGCCCCACCATCTGTGTGTGCAGCCCTGCCCGAGTCGCTGCATTCCCCACGCTACGAGGAGTGCGGCAAAGACTTCTCTCCAGTGGGCGGCCTGCAGGGCGGCCTGCACGTCCGCGCCAGCGCCGCAGTGTGCCCCGACGTTGGCAATGGAGACGTGGGGCCGGGGAGCGCGGCGGCCATGGGGGAGGCCGTGGTAGTGACGGCGGGGGAGGCCTCGGCGGACGTGGATGCCGGCACGGTGGCGAGCGAAGAGCGACCCGGCAGAAAGTTGCTGGCCTGCACCGTGTGCTCCAGGGCCTTCCCCACTAACTCCAAGCTGAGGCTGCACATGCTGGGCCACATGGGCGTGCGTCCGCACGCGTGCCAGTACTGCGGAAAGACATTCTGCGACCCCAGCAACCTGCGCACCCACCTGCGGATACACACGGGTACCGAAACACGAGATCCTCCGTATGGCCCAGAACAGACTGTTGGGGCGAGTGTTGTTAGCGAGCACCTATTGAGGCCGGCACAGCAGACGAGGGGGTGGGTGGCCAAAACCACGCCCGACTGCCTTTGTCTCCCCGGTCGTGACGTTTTACACACACCAAGTACACATTTAAGGCTGAGTCGACCTAGGAAAGGCCCAGGACCCTTTCAAATATTCGTCAGCGATGTTGACCATGAGCGGGAATTGAACTCGGCTGGCCGGGTTCGTAGCGCAGCTCACTAAACCGCCGTGCACTACGTACGTAACACGGTTACGCACACACACAGGCACACGTGGGTACGCGCGTACCTGCGTTTCCCGCACGCGAGGCTCACGGTGCGCCCCCTCCCCGTGCCCCCAGGCCAACGCAACTTCAGCTGTGAGGTGTGCGGCCGCAGCTTCACACAGAAGGCGCACCTCACCTCCCACGCGCAGGTGCACGCGGGCGGCGCGAAGACGCTGCGCTGTGACGCGTGCGGCAAGCTGTTCGCTCGGCGTCACGACCTCAAGCAGCACTCGTACATGCACACGGGGTGAGACGCACGCACACACATGGGGTGAGACGCACACACGCACACGGGGTGAGACGCACACACACGGGGTGAGACGCACACACACGGGGTGAGACGCACACACACGGGGTGAGACGCACACACGCACACACACACGTGGGGTGAGACGCACACACACACGCGGGGTGAGACGCGCGCACACGGGGTGAGACGCACACACGCACACACACACGTGGGGTGAGACACACGCACACACACGGGGTGAGAAACACGCACACGGGGTGAGACACACACACGCACACGGGGTGAGACGCACGCACACACACACACGGGGTGAGACACGCACGTGGCGAGACGCACACATGCGCTTTTCGCTTTGTCTGGCCGTCTTTGTCTCTCCAGATATTTACACACTGTGTGAGGTACTCACTTCAGATCGAATTGACCTTGGGAGGTGGTCTAGGACCGGTTCAGATAGAATTTAACTCAGGTCGCCAAATCCTTAGCGCTATGCACTGACCATTGCACCACCGTTCCCACAAATGACACACGCGTTGCACACACGTACACTCCACTCAAACACAATATACACACACACGTACACAGTCACGCACGTGTCATGCACGCACACCGAGGCTGCCCTGTGACTCTGCGCGCCCCCACCCCCGCACGCCCCCACCCCCGCGCGCGTGCTCATGCACAGGGAGCGCACCGTCAAGTGCCCCGAGTGCGGGAAGATGTTCTGGCGCGCGACCCACATGCGCAAGCATCTCAAGACCCACTTGGGCCGCCGTGAGTTCACCTGCCTGCGATGCTGCAAGGCTTTCCTCACGCGCTACCACCTGGCACGGCACATCAAAGGCTGCCGCTGCGGCCACAACGCCCCCTCTTCCGCCGCCGCCGCCTCCTCCTCTGGGGTCGTCATCGTCGGTCCCGTGGAGGCAGCGGGGGGCGGAGGTCACGACGGGGAAAGAGGTCACGACGGGGACGTGTCCACGAGCGGCTCGGACGAGGAGACGCGGCCCGCGGAGGATGAGTGCGATGAGTGAGGTCTCGCGTCCCCGCGACGCGGAGGCCACGTAGCGGTGGCCGTGTCAGGGAGCGGTTCCCCGCAGATGCTGGCTCAACGCGCTGCTGCTTCTGCTGTGACCGTGGCTGCTTCTCGCTCCAAGTGTCGCCAACTCTGCGATTGTCACTTCATCTTGTGACCTTTGGGTTTCCCGAGCGGCAACATGTTGTCAAGCCGACTAGTGACAAATCTCCTGACTTTGTATCATGACATTCGGAGCGAGTCCAGGTTTATATGAAGGATCCTGTATTAGTTTTCTGCTCGGTAAGTTGTCCTCTGGCATTTTTGATGATCAGCAACGGGTCCATCTAGTGATGAGATGGGACGTTCACCGCCCCAGTTATAATTTGCGCCGTCTGGTTGACACGGTGGACGTGAAAGATCCCCGTGACGTTATTCGCGAGAGTAGGCCATTGCGTGCCGGCGTCACGGTCCACATTTGCCACATTCGAAAGTGAATTCTCAATTGGGATGATGCGGCTGTAATCATGGCCTCCTGGTGGCAGGCTGATGGCCCAGGCCACTCTTGGAAATGCGACTCTATCCTGGTCACTTGAGTTCTCACCTGGGCAATCAAAATAAATGTAAACTGATATGAGGTTAGTAATCTCGTTTCCTCGTTGCTGCGTGTGGCTGCTACACTTGCAAAGCATCGAGGATGAACTCTCGTAATTTTCTGTGTCACGATAAAAAAGTTTTTATTGAGTTTACCAACTAGCCTGAAATTAATCACTAATTTTCATATGCGTATGTACTGTAATTATGATATATTACAAATGATACATTCTTCCAACCAGTATTTCACATATCATGTGCAAAATAATTAAATGTTTAAGTTAAATTGCATGATAGTGAATTCCATCACCGTAATAACTGTTCCTGAACACGACAACTCATCTCAGAGCAACTCAACAGTGCCCGTCTGTTCCCAACAGTGCCCGTCTGTTCCCGTGTGTTGTCAGGTTTGGGTTCGTAAGGTCATCAGGTCTTGACCTCCTGGAAGGGTTCACCCCGTTGGACACACGGTTATCACTGCATCTCGTGCTGCCACAAATGCTCGGCTGTCGTACCGCTGCCAACGACAACCTCGCTTATGTCCATTAATTCTAGGAAGCAGACGCACTTGAATAATCACTTAACAATTACGAGAAAATCCCGTGCTTTTTCAAATCGATGATGTTATAATCACACCATTTGGATAAACGTCTACAAAGAGGCACAAATCAGGTGAATGTGTCGCCAGCCTCTCGGCAGGGGACAGTCGAGAAATATATGTTGTACTGTGCTTCGATGCTCCCCACTACCAAGCCCGTCTTGTATGGCATAAAGGAGTTCTTTTTACCAAATGTAATTGGTTGAAATGCAAGTTATGTGTGTGCGTCGTGTAAATGTCGTTTTTGATTCTATTTTCACATTTCCACCCTGTCATGTTCCTGTAGCTGTTGCCACTACCGATGGTCTTGGGCAGTGGTCGTCCTTACAAAAGAGCTGCTTAGCTCAGCGTGCCTTGAGCCTGGTTGCAGGACCAGTCTCAATAGGTAGGGTGCTAGGCTTGCCACCTCAGGGGTACAACATCCCAGGACGTATCATTGAAAGATGATCTCAATACCTGAAGCGAAGAGAAAACTGCATGTGAATGATGTCTTGAGTGGTGCATTATTACTTCTTGTTATTCCTCTTTGCTCCCTGTGGAGCATAAGACTGCAACAAGCCCACACCATGCCGGACACAAATCGGCACTTTTTAATGTCCCGGTAAGACTCGCAGATTTCCCAGGACAGTAAATTCCGCAAGAGCTTGATCCTGGGACACCTGAGACAGGTGGCAACTCTAGCTGGTAATCCAATCTCAGGAGAGTGGGAACTCAAGGGGCCTTCCCGGAGGGCTCACACCTGGTTCAGCGTGACCGCCACCATCACGTGGACTCAGCCCGGACACTCACCTGGGCATTCAAAGCACAGGCGAGTCGGTGCGGGAGGTTGAATCTTACCGCACCGTTTACTAGGCGTGTAATAATTTAGAGGGTTCTGGGAAAACTTTCGGATGAATCCTGCTACCTTCATTACAACACTTGATTTCTCAACGGCAATCGTCATCCACCATGATCGTTGCCGTCTCAGGTCACGCTATGCTGCAGTCATTCATGTCGTTCATGCGCCAAGGCTGATTTCCTTGCTCCATCTGCACGGTGGACATCCTCTCGGGCATGTTCCCTCCTTAAGCTACCGCTCCGTCATTAGTCTCGACCACTGGACTGCATCCAACCCACCTGCACGAAGCAGTACACGTGCATAAGCATAACCACTTTATTACATTATATAGGTTTACATTATATAGGTTTACAAAAGCAAATGTACATGCAGGGCAGCAAGCGGAACGAGCAACGTGGACTAGAGTCCGGCCAGACATGTTAGGTTGTCTTGTTATTTCAAAACCACAGCTATAGGCTAGGTTTGTTATTTAGCACCTGAAATTACACTTCATTAGGCATTCACACACAGCAACTTAAGTGAAATAGTCTGGCACTTTGCACTAGAATCGGTGTAAACGGAGGGGAAAATCTCACTCGAGGCGTTTGTGAAATGCAAGCACAGAATCGTGGGGTGAGCTGACCACCCGAGGCACATTTGTGGGCAGTTCCGCTGAATCAAAGAATCTGTGCTGCTTAATACTGGCCAGAGAGAGGTGTTGGGAACCTGCAGTTTACCCTCGTAGGTTATTTGATTACCACCAGCAGGAATGGGTTCACAAGAAAAAACACCGGCTCCGAATTCCCTGCTGCTGTGCGAGTTTCAGTTGCATGCTAATTCGTGTTAATGACGATGCTGGTGATAGTGGTGGTGAGCTGGCCTCCCAACCCCTCGTGTCGTGCTGACCTTCATAGGTGTTCGCTAACAGCACTTGCCCCAGCAGTTTGTTAAGGCTACATGGGGAATCTTTATTTCTATTGTCACAGTGATCTGCTCAATTGAGCACTGAGGCGGTGCTTATCTTGTTTACCATCCGGAGCCATTAGCGGAAATTCCTACGGTGGGGGCAAGTTAATCCATACAGCAGCCACTGCTGACTTTTTCACAAAGTGATACTCATTTTATCGACCCCAATAGGGATGATGAGTCAAGGTGGCTTGTAGAACACGCTGACCATGTGACCGAAACTCCGCCGGCGTGAAGCTAACAAACGCCGTTCCAGCACGAACACAGGACCGTTGGGCCGCACTCGGGGCGAGTGCCAGGGGATCTATCGTCAAGCCAGGCCATCGGAACGTCCTGCGAGCGCGGCTTGAAGGGCTCTCTCGAACACGATACACGCGACGACCGCGTTACCCCACCGACCACCGGACACTCTCGGGTAACGAACCCACGGCTTCGAGGCGAGATGACCCGTGCTGCGCCGTGATAATGCTGTGCAAAGCCGTACGGAGAAGGCAGGCAGCACAGGCAGTCCAAGGAAAGCACGGGTGTTCTGCCTACAGTCATTCATACAACACTCCTCGCAAATTCACCGTACCCTGATGTCAGGTGTTTAAGGACTACGGAGTTTTGGAAAAAGCTAATGATCTGTTAGCAAGAAGAATCATTTAAACATTTAAACCTTTTTTTGCGATTACAGGTGTATACATATCTTAATAACGCCATCATGCAAAACTATAGCGCACATTTAAACTTTAAAACTATTTGGTGATTATCATAAGTACTGTGGAGCGCAATAGTTTAATATTGTTGCTCAGTGCTAAATCAATAATTGGCAGCGAGCCAGAGTAGTCAAGAGGCATGTGACGATTTCAACTCGCTTCCGTCTCCACGAAATAAAGTCTGGTCTTGGTTTGGGGTCACAATTCAAGAATCGGTGTTTTAATATAATTGCGAAATGTTTTAGTTTATATAGCATTGTCGTTCGTGCAAATGGCGTCACACAATGCTGAGGAACTACAGACACATTAGAAGGCAGCCAGACAGTGAGCCGGCACCAAAAATTGCCCATGCTCCGGAGTCCTCTTATGTTAAGATGATTTCAGAAAAACTGGATTTCCAGGAGAAAATCACACGTACGTGGGAGAAAACATCCAATGCACAAGCGACGTGATAATAGTCCACACTTTGCTGTACCGCCTTCTCCGAGCGAGAAAATGTTTGGACTTAAATGTGCATAAAAAATTATTATCCGTATTTTTACAATTCAATGCAACTATCGGGAGCGTAAGAAGGGGCTTTAATAAACGGATGTCTTGAGTTAGGATCCTCAGATGTTGGACTCACCGGGCGGGGGTGCAAGCGTGTGGGTGGATTTTCAAGCACTGCCGCACTTCCAACCTCCGCGTTAATAATAATCAAGCTTTGGGAAATTGTGGTCTTCAAGTGACTGACTTGCTCGTCGACACGTGTAATTGCCCGTTCCGTCAGCAGCGTGCCCTCCCACACGCTCACTGGCCTCGGAATGAATCTGCCTGTGCAACAGCGAGGTCGGTGGGATGAAAGGGTGGCGAGGACAAATATGTGGCCACCTCCCAGAGGAGTAACGATTATATAACGAACACAACGGTTAAAGACAGGGTTGTGTGTTTTACAGACAGCAGCTAGAGTACTTAGTTAAAGGCACTGTGGGTCTGGCAGTGACAGCTGGACATCAAGTAACTACTGGCACTATACAGGGGGTTGCTGGATTCATAGGCCAGGAACCCCCCCAGAACTGACAAGGCCCATGAGGCGATAGAGGGCCATAGCCGGTGTGACAGGAGGAGGGAGCCTTTGGCTGGGTGCTGGCTGGTGCTGGCTGATGCTGGCTGGATGCAGGAGATGTGGACCTATGGGTGGGACTGTGGGTGGCTGCGACTGTCTGGAGAGGACCCCAGGGTTAGCGGCCAGGTACTACTTGTTCTTGGCCGCCAGAGGACGGCGGCTGATCTTCTTGGTCTTGTCGTTGGTCTTGGGTGGTGGGGATGGATTGGCCTGCATGTGCCGGCCGTATAAACTGCAAAGGACACACACACAACACATAAACATATATACAAACACAATCAAGCCAAAGGCACACAAACATATACGCATGTAAAGACACCAAGCCATAAAACACAGGTACTTAACCAACATTCCCCTACAGCGACTGCCTACACATGGACACAAGCATGCAGCATGCACAGGAGCATGCAACGCACACACACACGATCATCGAGCACATACACGAGCATGTACACACATCCACATATATATGGAACCTGTGCAAATTTCACACAACTGCAACAACACACAGACACGTGCGTGGGCACAGGTGTAGACATTAAGTGTGCTTGCTGCACTGGGTGAAGCGATACTCACTACTTGTAAGTCTCGGAGCGGATGTACTCGAAGACGTGGGACAGCCCGACCTGGAACTGGTCAGCGATTGGGGCCACCCAGGGATTATTCTCAGCCTTGAACACCTGCTTGGGACCCACCAAATCCAGCACACCTGTGCGTGGACAAAAAAAGAAGCAAAATCAAAGATCCCCCGTGTAGCCTTTAACAGACTGTTGGGGCAAGTGCTGTTAGCGAGCACCTATAAAGTCCGCCACAGCACACGATAGGGTGGGTGGCCAACACCATGCCCAACCGCCTCTGTCTCCCTATTGGAGATGTTTACTTGTTGAGTAGACTAAGGAGAGGCCCAGGACTGTTCAGATATCCATCACTGGTGTTGGAAAGGATTGGTGTATATATATATATAAATAATCAAGCGAGGGTCACTCAGTTCATAGTGCAGTACACTTGCGCCTCCAATCAGCACGGTTGGCTCATTGTTTTTTCCAGTCTGTGTTTGCCAATTGGGCCTGATTTCCAAGATTACGCTTGCTATGGTGCGTCACTCCCATGGTGTTTTGTTGCCATTACTACGATGTGTGGTTGCCATGGTGTATCCGTGGCCGAGGTTTGGCGCGCGTGCTTTGCCGTGTTACCAAGCTCAGGTGGCAGCACAGTGAGGCGGTTGCCCTGGATGTGCAGCTCCTTGAGCTGCGCGAGTTCTCCCACCTCCCGCGGCAATGACACCAGATCATTATCGCGCACGCTCAGCTGCACGACACACAGACATGGAAACACCGAGATTCAAGGTTGCGCCGCTGGGCCTTGCACAGGCTGTAGAGGGAAAGTGCTGTTAGCGGGCGCCTATAACAAGGCTGAGAGGGCACATGGGCGGGTGGTGATCAGTGCAGAAGGTGATTGTTGTGCAGGGCTTATCGAAGGTTGTGGTGCAAGGGTTATAGATGATTGTTGTGCAGGGGTTTTCGATTATTGTCGTGTAGGGTTTATTGAAGATTGTGGTGTAGGGGTTATCAGTCATCACAAAATATCTCATTGACGGTGGTGTAAGAGTTAGGAGTGATCACGGTATTGTGAGAGGTGTCCAGTTCTCACAATCTGCAGCTTGTTGAGCTTCCCTACGTCGGGAGGAAGTGTCTCAAAGTCGTTGTCACTGAGGTAGAGAGCACGCAACGTGGCTGGGTGGGGGTGAGGAGTTGGGGGAAACATGTAGGCACATCGTGAGAACAGATCAATATGATTGTTAAAACACAGCACAGGCAGCGTCCGATGTTTATTAATGCGTAACACTCAGCTGCTGAATACAGCGAGACGTGTTCAGCACGGTTGGCAGGAGTCAGCTGGCACAACACCTACTTGTTGCATGCCACCACACAATCTACGATTAACCCCAATGGCCAGTACGTCTGCATGTGTAAGCGTGTGTCCTTGTGGGTACAACTGATAGGGGAATATTCTTTCATGCCGTGTATGCCCGTGTGCCTGTATATACATGTGTCCTGACGCTTGGACAAGACTTGTGAAGCCCGCTAATTCGAAGTTGGAGGCAGGCACCCTCCGACAATGACAAAGATAAGAAGAGCGACGCTCAAAAAGAGCAGAGCGTCAGGTGACTAAAATGCAAGTCATCTCAGTTAATCAACCCATAACATCTTGGTGTGTCCCGAAACCTCTTATCAGCAGTGAGCATTCCACACTTGACGTGGCCTCGAGATGTACCTTGCCTGGCACAATCGCCGTGGTGACATCATCGCCACTTAGTGGCGAATGGAGGCTGTTGTCGTGTCTGTGTTTCTGCGTGTCCGTGTGTGTCCGTGTGTGTGCTCGTGTCCATGCGTCTCACTGAGATAGAAGAAGTTTCCTGGCAGGGAGGCCTCATTGAGGTTGTTGTAGGTGAGGTCCAGCACCTCAAGTGCTGGGAAGGAGCCAAACCCTCGCGGCAGCGTGCTCAGCCGATTCATCCTTTGCAAATACACACGTACGTGAACACACATGAAGACACATGCGCGCGCGCGCACACAAATACCATTTCACACTCATGCTGCTTCTTGTAGTAATGCTACAGTGCATTGCCTAGTCCATCATGAAGCAAGTTACACATGAGGAGGGTAGTAGCAGTCGCATTCCTGCCCATTCACTCTCAGTTTAATGTCTATCTCAGAGACAGAGTGAAGGGTGAGGGATGGAGGTGAGGACAAGGAGTAGATAATGGATTATAGGAGAGTTATAATGGGAGTGGAGGTGAAGGGTGAGAGAAAATGTAGTTCAGGGATGAGAGGATAGTGGTGAGAACCGAGCATTGAGAGGTGAAGAATGAAGACAGGGGAAAGGCGTGTGACATGAGTTAAAGGTAAGGGTGAGAGGAGAGGTGATGGTTGATTTTAGAGTTGAGCCGTGTGAGTAGAGGGGGGAAAGGGATAAGATGAGGGTGAGAGACTAGGGTGAGCGGTGAGAGGTGAGAGCAGATGGAACGATGAATCGGAGGTGAGGGGCAAGGGTGAGCAGTCATCAGGGGATGAAGTGTGGGAGTAGAGGGACTGTCACTCACCCCAGGTTCAGGTGCTTGAGTTTCTGCAGGCCGCTGATCTGCGTGGGCAGCTCTTCAATCTGGTTGTTGAAGAAGTTTAGCACCTCCAGGTTACGCAGCTCACTGATGTTCGCCGTCACAGCTGCACACGCGAAAACATTGTGCTTCATTAAGCTGCGGAAACGTGTTTGTGTGCTGATGTCAACATAAGGTACGTGAACCTCTGAGTTGAGATTGCAAGTAAGGGTGGCAGTTTGATAAGCAGGTATGTAAAGATTCACCACCAATTATGATGCTCATGACACATGGATAAAGAATTTAAAGAAATTATTACATACAAATTAAATACTAATGTTACATTGAGGTTAATGGAGCAAACATAACTGCAAAGAGAAACAAATGACAATACAAAGTAAACGGTAAAAACAAAACAGAATTCTTGAGTTGAATTGTGCCGTTAATCTAATCGCTGGTGGGACGAATCGTTACACACAGTGCGGTGAGTACATTCAGATGAGTACATTCAGATGATGGTTCATCAACCTGGGGAGCAGTGATGTGCATTAGGAGAGGTGATGTACCGTCATTATGTTCAGTGATTTCCATGTTTTGCAATGCAATTTGTATTTATCGTGTGAAAATGTGACCAAGTCTAGATATGTTTAACAAAAAGTGGATTATTTTCGAATCAGCCAGTTATAGGCAGAGGAAAAAAGGTTTTAAGCTTGCACCTGAATAGGGGAAAGAAGTCAACAGCATGGACAACTGGGATAAGAGAGTTGGTTCATGATGAGGGCAGAAGAAGCGACATCATTCAACTCACTCTGCAGCTTGTTGTGACTGAGCACCAGCTGGGTGAGATGACTCAACGCAACTGAAACAGAGAGTACACGAATACAAAATCATACCGAGTTTATAAATGCATTGCACTAAATAAGAGTAATAGCTCATGTTGTTTTGTCTTTTACAATATTCTAACTATGTCACGAGAAAAAAATGTCCATTCAGAAGTCTCGCAGACGAGTGCATCACCCTTTGTTTAGAGACTGGTGTGGAATGATAGATTACAGAATTTCTTATGAGATCCCTTCAAGTTACTTTTTACCACATTACTGGTGTTATATTTCTCCAAATGGCCTACTACATTGAAACGCTATCCCACATGGCAGACAAAAGTAAATATTTGAATACAAGAGTGGGTGGTTAAACCCCAATTTTGAAACCAGGAAATCAGGCAATGCCAGCCGATTCCTCTGATCCCTGAGAGTAACCGTAACCCGGTCACCTCTGACTTCTCACTGAAAACCCAGTTAGCGCTGCTTATATATATGTCACGATGTAACGGAATTTTTGTTCCTGGGTACTAAGTGTTATTTTTTAATTGCTTATGTCTAAAAAGTATAGAAAATGGCTATTCCCCACAAACTTTGCTTTTGTGACCAGGACTCAATGTGAACGATGAAGACCGCTTTTGTGGCGATCGAAACGTCATGGTTTTTTGCTTTTTTTAAAAATATATATTTTAACTTAATCTGTATTTTATGTTCTATCTACGTGATTTTACCGAAATAACCAAGAATGTACACGTTTTCTCATTGAAAATAGGTACATTTCTAAATATCACTGTCCTGGTCACAAAAGCAAAGTTTGTGGGGAATAGCCATTTTCTGTACTTTTGAGGCATAAGCAATGAGGAAATAACACTTACTACCCAGGAACAATTTTTTTTTGTTACACAGTATTTATCAGTCTGTTGTGGTTGGGGGTAGTTGGACATGCTTACAGAGGCCTGGCACGTCTAACATGTTGGTTACGGCCTTGTCACTCAGGTCCAACTCCGGCACATCCTTATCCTTGCACTCCTCCACGGCTTTCTTCAGAGACTTGGACATCTTTGTCTGCAGCGACACACACACAGCCACCACGACCATACAGGCATGTTTACGTATGGGGTGGAATTTCAATACAATTCACAGGGAACAAGAAGGACTAGGCCTGATCCAACTGTTGAGTTGTCCGCATTTACCCGCAGTTGGTTGTGCAGCTGCTGTTACTGCTCGTGATGGTTCCCATGTTTAACAATGTGATGTCAGTGGCGCTCATGATGGTGGCTGATGGTGGTGTTTGTGGTGGTCATGATGCTACAGGCCGTGTTGCCAGTGGTCGTGTGTTGGAACTTGGCTCTGGTGATACTGGTTGTGCTTAGTATAAATGGTTGCTAGTGATGTTGTCCTTGGTGCTGTTGTACGTGATGCTTGTGATGCCTTGTTGTGTTGGTGCTGGTTGTGCTGATGTTGAGGTGTTCGTTAGGGAAACTGAGGCAGCAAGCAGACGGGTAGCTCACACCAGCTAAGCACCGCCCCTCCTGTATAACATAAACCATCATCCCCTGCAATGACACGCCATGCACGCACACATGAACCCTGCCACAAGGCTGCCTCTAGCCTGGACAACCACTCGCTCGGCAGTTCTAGCCCCGGACATCCCCAGCTCTGGGCTGTGGACACTTCTAGACACTGATACACCCCCATGCCTCTGGGACCGCTCGGACGTATTTAATTAATTTAGTGTATTTATTATATTTAGTGACTTGCTTATCAGTTTCTCTTTCGCGCTCCTATCGTGTTTTCGTATTGTTAGCTGTTGTAATTTGATGACCCGCCCATACTGGACATCTGTGAAAACGAGCTTAATAGCTCATCGGATTCCTCTCCTCCAGTCTAACTAAAGATTCTGATCCCGATAACCCAGACGACATCTCTCGTTTGTCTCGAGCCAGAGCGATCCCAATGTTCAGACTACCTCGATCCGAGAGACGTTCAAGGGGCGAGGAAGCCGCACGCCGTGTCACCACCACCACCACCCAGCACCACCACGCGCATCGCTCCGGGGTGCATACGCTGACCCCACTCACCGCGTAACCCGTCGTTCCCTCGTGTTAGCCCCGGGTTCTCTCGGCTCCCCTTAGGCCCTGCTGGATCCCCCTGAGCGAGCCGGAGCCGCGGGCGCTACGCTGGAAACGGCGGGAGATGAAGAACGCCGCCGCCGCCACCGCCCCGATTCACAACGCTCGGCGAAGTCGAACACCACTGGGCGCAGACATCTTGCTACTGCCGAGAGAGCCGATTGGCCAGGAGCGCGCACGTGACTACAGGCGACCGTCGTGATTGGCCCCAAGTTGAGGGGAAATAGTAAGATGGCAACCGCGATGGCGTTGCCCACAGGGCGTGGAGCTCTCCCTCCTCTCCCCTCCCTCCCTGTATGGGCATTCGTGAGCGGCATCGCTGCTGACGGGTGCGGGGGTGCTGTGCGGGTTACATGCTGCCCACACACCGCCCCCTCGCACGCAGCAAATAAACACTTCAGTCTACACACAACATCGCTGGACGCTTTACCCCGTGTTCTTGTACAGGGACATTGAGTTTTCAGGTCCATGCGGCGTGCAGCCGTTTTAATGCGGGGAATTAGTTTTTGTCTCTGTGTGTGTTTCTCCCTTGTGACGGAACTTTGTAGGATGGACGTTTATATTTATAAGGGCACGGGGTGACCAACAAGGTCTGAATTGGTCGGTAATAAGGTAGACACCACAACATCACAAACCACACACAGACCCAGTTTTTTACACAACAGCCGTCATTCGCCACAAAGTGGCGGTGCCGTCAACCACGGCGCTAGTGCCAGGCTACGTGCACTCTGAGGCCACGCGAAGTGTCAAAGGTTCGCTGGCAGGAGGTCACGGGACAGACGCAGGTGCCATGGATTTACTGACAGATGACTGACAAATGCACCAACTTGTGCCCCCTACTGTGCCAACTTGCTGTGCTTTAGCCACCCGGCGTTCCGCTCGTTGTTGTGAACGTCGCTCCTCCACACACACTTCACACACCACTACATACACCTGCAGTCACGAAAGCTCCAAATTAAGTTTTTACATACACCCAGTTACCGAAACTCGCACCACATCACGTATCTCATCCACAACCCAATCTCGAGTCGAGCCACACCCACACACCAACATTCTTCAACACAATCATCCAAGCTCATATGCATGTAATCCCTCACACAAACCATAATAGACGTATTCAAGAGGTACACCACACATCCTGATACTATCAGTTACCACACGAACCCAATCATCCAAGCTGCCACCACAGACACTGCCACACACACCTTTTAACCAAACACCAGTCCCCACACATGCACACGGATATCATCCATGTTACAACCACATTAAACTCCTCACAAACACGTCACGTTCCACCCAAACAGTCCCCACCTAACATTACACACATCACACACCATCCCTTTCTGCCTACCACCTACACAACTGACTCACACCATCACCACCACCCACGCCTCACACCCCCACACGCAATCCCTGCCCACGCCAAACCTCAACAAACACCTCACACACACGAACACCCTGCCAATTGGACACAATTCGTGACTAACAACTCAGTCAATCCCCCTCTCTCCCCCTGACCCCAGTTCTCTCCACACTCCTCCAACCCATTGTCCTCTTTCGTGGGACGCTTCCCCGTTCTCTCTGCCCCTCACTTGCCTGCCCCGTCTCCCACCATCGCCCCTCTCATCCCCTCCCTCCCTCCCGTCCTTCTCGCATTTCTCCCTTCTCAGCCCCCGTCTCCTCTCACCCACATTCCCTCTGCCCCCCCCCTCTGCCCCCCCCCCTCTGCCCCCCCCACTTCTCCCCCCCTCTGCCCCCCCCCACTTCTCCCCCCCCCCCCTCTGCCCCCCACCCTCTGCCCCCCCCCACTTCTCCCCCACACTCCCCCCCACACTTCCCCCTCACACCCCCCCCCCACTCTCCTCCCCCACTCTCCCTACTCTCCTCCCCACTCCCCCCCACTCTCGTCCCCACTCCCCCCACTCTCCCCTCCTCTCCACGGCACCACCTCCCCCCACCCTCGTTGCGCCCTCCCCCAACATTCCCCTCGACCCCACCCTCCTCCCCCCCACCCCCAGTCTCCCCCCACCCTCGTCGCACCCTCCCCCCAACATTCCCCTCGTGCCCCCCCCCTTCTGCCGCCACCAATCGCCCCCCCCTCCACCCCTCCCCTCCTGTCCCCCCACCCCCCCTCCCCGCCTAAGATGGCGGCGCCCGAGTGCCGCGCGGGCTCGGAGCTCGTGGTGCGGGTCGAGGAGGCGTCTGGCGGCGTCCTGCTCGTCTCGCTGAGCGTCGGCGAGCGCGACTTCTCGGGCGTGCTCATGGACGTGTCGGGGCGGTGAGGAGCCCCGCACTCGCTCGCCGTCGCGCCCGCTTGGCTCGCCCGTCCGCGCGCGGAGACCGAGGCCCGCGGTGGAGAGGCCCAAGCCTCGGTCTCGTCTGCATTCCCTGCCGGTTTTCGAGCGCGTCCATTGGGGGTCGCGGCCGGTCCGGCCCCCCCGTCCCCCAGCACCCCTGCCCGCCACCCCCTCCATAGCTCTCCGGGTGTCGCCAAGGACGAGAGGTTTTCGCATTACTTTGGATGCGCATTTTTTAAAATGCGATTAACAGATAACTCAGTTTTGTGGATTTGTAGAGTAGAAGCTGCTGATTAGGCGGTTTAAAGGGATGCACGAGTTGGTGGTGGTGGGGGTGGTAGAGACGCCTCGTGATGGTGAGAGGTGAACAGACTGGCTACCTCGCCAGATTTACCAACATGTAGGTTGAAACCAGTTCAACATTTGACCATTTGCATCGGACGCTGGTGTTAGTGATGGTGGTGATCGTTGTGATGCTATTGATTACCGCAGTGTAGATTTGGGTGATTGTGTTGCCTGGGTGATTGTGTTGCCTATGGTTGTGGCGATTGGCACGGCGGTAATGATTGCAGTGGGTGGTAACGGTGATAGTTCTAATGGTATTCATTACGGCTGTGGTGATAGTGGGGTAGGTAATGGCTATTATGGTAATTGTGAAGTTGCTGATGGTTATGGCGGTGGTGATGGTCATAGCGGTGATCGTGGAGGTGATAATGCTGGTAATTATGGTAGTGCTAATGGTGGTGGTGACTGATTAATTGGGTATGCTCTCGCCTACTTCAGCATGTTTTCTTGCTGTGGTTGTTCCACCTGATGAATATTGCTTGTGGTGCGATCGAAACGTCGTGATTTGTTTTATTTCTACCTACGTGACTTTACCGAAAGAACCAAGGAGTATGGGTATGTTGTATTAATGATTCTGGTGAAAATTGAGCTGTTGATTGTCAAAGGGTAGGTGGTGGTGATGATGATGATGCTGATTGGGGTAATCGCTCACGATAACTGCTGGTTTTCAATCCCATCTTCTGGCGCGGCAGCTAAATACAACAGCGCACGTTTATTTACACCCCCGCCACGTGTTCAACTCGCAGCATACTGCGGTGTGCCATAGTCGATCGGGCAGGTTGTGTGTGGTTGGTTAATGTGCGAGGTGTCCCCACCTCTGACAAGACGTCTGCTCAACGTGAAGAGCAGACCACATACCTACGATATTGGAGGCGCTTCTGCCAGCAGTGGCATGAGCACGCAAGCGAGCGAGCGTTTGCAGGGTTCCACCTTTACCTTTCAACTGAGACACGTGGATAAACGTACCACGCGGTAACTATGGATGCGGTGCCGTTTGTATGTCCTCTTGATTCCCTTAATTATTAAACTCCCAGGAGAATAGCTTCTGAAAACTGTTACCGGATTACCGTATAACAGCCCACACGATATGGTCGTACATTTGACAAGGCATTATTCACAGTGGTGATGTCACACGAGACATGTCAAGAGATGAGGTCCGATCCCACGTCCACAATCGCACCTTTTGCTGTCCAGAAATCGGCCTCGGCGCCACTGACTGCACTGTTTTTCTGTCTGTCGAGTTTCTCATTTGCATAAGTCGTTGAGAATCGGTTCGCATAATTTCACTCCCAGCAACAGCCATGCTGACCTCGGTTGTACTGTATTGCAACGTGACTGCCTTTTCCAGTCGTGGCAGGGGAACAAATTGGCCGTTGATGCGATACTTTTGTTGTCTGTGGGGCGTGGGCAGGTCCTGAGCCTGGCAGGGCGTGGTGGCCTGGCACAGGAGGCTGCTCAGCTGGTCGGAGGCAGGACCCCACGCAACTGTTTGCGCCCCCATTAATTATTCATCTGGTCGTTTACCAATTTGTGAATTATTCATTGCTGTTCGACCCGCCTTTTCCCAGTCAAGGAAATTCACTTAACAGCCTAGGCCCATCGCACACGTGTACAGGCAGTGAACTCGCCCCACCTATCTCCCGCCTCGCGCACCGTCTCACTCCCCTTCCCCGTGCTCTGCTCTATCAACCAAGGCCATCTGTCGGAGCCTGCAGTCAAAGCTACGCTCTTAAGAGGCTGCCTCTCAGATGTCTCTAGCTCTGGTGTATTTTCGGTTTGCATCGTGCGTTGTTAGAAATCGTGCTTCTTCAGCTCCTGGCACGTGGAGTGAAACGTTACTTATTTTACTTACCTAGGGAAGCCACATTGATTCGTAGACTTTTTCAGGAGCGTTCTGCTACATTGGGTTGAGATGTTAAGATGTTTTCGGCCAATTGATGAGTGTTTGTACATGTGGGAGGAAACCGGAGCACCCGGAGAATACCTACACGTACGAGGAAGCAACACTCTTTTCCCTTACAGATGGAAACGGATGGCGATTAGTGCACTTTTGCTGTACTGCCTTCTGGCGAGCCATGGTATGGCGCCTCGACAACATGCGGTACAACCCAAAAACACACCGGATTGTTTTATAGCACAAGCAATAGTGCTCTACCTGGCTCTGCACTGCCGACTCACCCCGAGTTCAAATCCCTTCACAAGACATCTCTGCCTGGAACTGCCCCTTCTTTTTGAAGAGTCTTCATTGAGGAATGCACCTCTACCCATACTCCTGTAGCCTTTCTCTCTCTGCCCTGTAGCTTCGTACACCCTAGCTTGTCTCTCCCTGCTGTAATCATAAGCATGTTGATTTATAAAACCAATCTTTGTCATTTCGCCTATAACTCAAGAAGCTTACAGTAGTCCACGGATGCACATCATATCAAAGATATATGCCAAAGAATACGCTCCCGAAAATGCACATTTGTTGTTTCAGGGGACATGACTTGAGCTATAGCATGGGCAAAACCATTTTATTGAGTGATTTGTTGCTTCTGATTGCTGGCTCACTCCAATTGATGGATGCCTAAATATAACATTTTTCAATTGATTGGCACGACATTATTGAGAATGCATTGAAAGATGACTACATACTGTTGTCGATTTCTTAAAAGATTGTCAGTAGTAAGATGATCCCCTTGTACCTGGCCGAGGTTGTGAGATGGCCTAAAGGCTGTGCCAAAGGTGGGGGGCGATCCCACAAAACGTCCTCTTCATGCCCACGTGCTCATATTTGTGCAGAGTCTTGAGATGCTTTTAAAATCCACATCGCATTGTATGTTGTAAACCATGTCTAGTTTGTAATCTCTGCGGTTGTAGGATCTTCATGCTGCTGACACTGGCGCGAGTGGCACTGCTACTTGGGGCACTTTTCCGCGTCGCGTGGCGTCGCAGCACCTCTGGACGAGGTCACTCTTCTGCCAGTGCCGAAGGCCGTGTTCCCCTAAAAGGGGCGAACATCTGCAAAATGTGAAATAAAGCACTTTCTGATTAAATTTAACAACACCCCGATTCTCTTTACTTTCACATCATTTGCAATGCTGACACAGCCCCATTCCTCTAACCTCTGTGTGCGTTGGTGGAACAGCCGCACACGATTTAGTGGCGCCTGCCGCAGGGCACTAAGACGCGTGGAAACTTTCCAATGCAATTCAGCCCTGCAGAAATTTTCGTCCATGTTGGAATTCGTAGTGTTTCTAAGACTGCCTGCCTGTTTTTATTTTCATCAAATAATTTGTTTCTTTTGAAGTGTCTATCCACATCTTACCATCTTGTTGTCTCCTTTCCTTCTCTGCCTTGAAGCCTCCCACCCCTCACTCTCCCCATTGAAGAACCATCACGAAGAAATCCCTCTTCAAATTATCCTGATGTTCCCATTTTGCACATCCTCTTGAGGTGCGGTTGCATTTAGGGGCAGCGTGAATCCAGGTTGTATTTGAAGTTGTTTCTCTTTAAACAGCGATGTTTTAAGAAGAAGGGTGGTGGTATGTGGAGGCCCCTGATGGATCTGTAAGCGTTGGTGCCCCCCCGTCTTGGTCATTATGTGGCCTGCATAGTAAGGGAGTAACGGTGGATTGATTAATCAACTTAAGTCCGTTCTTACTCTCTCGATACATGTATAATATTAGGCGCGGAAGAGTTGATTATTTACCATCGATATAAATTATGTAAAAACCTTACGGCGGAGAATGATGCAAACCAAACGGTGCAAATGCGATGGAATCAAAGATAAATGCGACAAAGCAAGTAAACTTGGGACAAAAAAACCCGAGTCTATTCCTTTGCAGAGGAGACGGTGAATTACTACTACAGCCTCGGGTGTAGAAATGTAATGCACTTTCCTACTGCTGCTGTTGCTGCTGCTGGTTTGCAGGACGGGGCTGCGTGGGATGCCCGTGTCGGTGTTCCCCAAGAGGGAGCCGCACAATGCCTACCCCGGCGAGCAGGAGAACCTTCACGCGCAGCTCGACCTGAAGCCGCCGCCGCTGCAGCTGTTGCACCCCGAGAACAACGGCAAGGTGGCGCCGGCGCTGCCCGTGGTGAAGACGGAGTGCGAGAACGGCGGGGCCTTTTTCCCGCTCTACTCCAAGGGCGCCCCGTACCCCCCGCCGTTGCTCATCCGCCACACCTACAACCAGTGCGTGCCGCAGCCTCCGCCACGGACCATAAAGCGCGCCAAGCGCGGCGCCGGCGGCAGCAGAGACGGCGGCGCGGAGCCCGAGAGCACCGAGGGGCTGCGCCCCCGCCGCGTGCTGTGCGAGCGGTGCCAGCGCGTAGTGAGCCGCGACGGGGCCGGCGCCGCCGCCGCCGCCTCCGTGCCGTCATTACGCTTCCCGGGGGATGGTGGTGGCAGGAAGAGAAGGGCGGACGGCTCGCCCTGCGACGGGAGGGACGGGAGCCCGGAGGCCGGAGGCGGCCGCCCGTCGGCGTCGTCGCAGGGCTGCGTCCACGGCGTGCCCTCCCGGCAGACCGTGTTCGGCAGGAGCCGGGCCCTCAGGGTTCCCCGCGCGCGTCGGCCACGCTGTCAGGGCCCTCGGCTCGCGGCGCTGCCTCCCGGCCGACAAGCTAGAGCAGGCGAGGGCACGGGACGCGCTGCGCCAGTCCAAGGGCAAGGGCAAGAGGAGAACGCGGCGGCATCGCGCAGAGTCCCGCGCCGGGACCAGGACCCTGAGGCCGGACGGCGCCCGGGAGAACGGCTGCCGTGCCGACACCGACAGCGACGGCGCCAGCGTCGTCTCGTCCCAGGGCGGCTCCGCCGCCAGGGCCGGCGTGAGGACTGCGCCGCACAGGGCGGTGAGGGACCACCACGTGAAGAGCTGTTGTAAGCAGGAGGAGGAGGCCGCCGCAACCGCTCCGCTGGGCGAGAGCACAAGCGGCGCGAGCTCTTCGGGTTCCCCAATGTCGGGATCCAGCACGAGTACCGCCCATGGTGGCTGCGTCGGACTGGAAGTTGTCACGCTGGCGGCGTCGCCGGCGGCGTCGACGGCGGCGTCGGGGACGGCAGCGCCGGCCGCGGTGCCGGTGACGTGCGGTGTCGACGCCGACGGGCCAGACGGGGGCTCGTGGCCGGTGCGGCACGGTGGGCGGCGGCGTGCGAGGGCAGCGCGCGTGCACAAGAAGAGCGTGACGCGCTGCGTGACATCGCAGGGCAAGGCGGTGTGCGTGGGCGACATCGTGTGGGCCAAGCTGCACGGCTGCCCGTGGTGGCCGGCGCAGGTCCGCAGTGTCAGCGTCAGCGTCCAGGTGCGATGCCGTTTATAATACATTACAATACATTGTGAATGTCTGTAGCATCTGAATGCAACTGTGTTTAAATGTCGTACATAAACATGGGGCATTTTTATTTTATAAATGTCATCTGCGAAAAAAAGGAAAGCAGCGTGTGTGGTGGGGAGTAGACTGATATGAGAGGGGAAGAGGTGGGCTGGATAAATTTCGTGAAAAAACTGGAAGATGGTGAGTGCAATCCTCATGTTGATCTCCGGAGCCAGTTTAGGGATTGATATACCATCGGGGTCATTCCACTTGAGAATCCGGTTTAATCACAGACGACTGCCTGGATTCTAAACCTATATCAGCGGTACCAGCTGACCGCTGCGACCTCAGAACCGTGTCAAGCTTAACACGTGCGTGCCTGCCCGTGCCCACGCTCGCGCACAGGAGGAGAGCGGCCTGGTGCTGAGCCAAGAGGCGAAGATGGCGTGGTTCGGCTCCACGACCACGTCCTTCCTGCCGCTCTCCCAGGTGGTGCCCTTCATGGAGAACTTCGAGGCGCGCTACAGCCGCCGCAAGAAGAGCAACGGCTACCGGCGCGCCGTCTCGGAGGCGGCCGAGGCGTCCCGGCGCCTCACGCCGGAGGTGCGCAAGCTGCTCACGCAGTTTGAGACGTAGGGGAGGTGTGGTGGCGGCGGCGGCACTGGCCGCTGCGGCTACGCGGGCAGGTGGGTGGCGCCATCGGTCGCGCGTGGCCCTCGGGAAATTGGCAGCTCACGGCTCTCTCGTTGCTCTGGCCGACGCTTGCCTGTGCTCGCATGCGTACCTGCTGTACGTGCCGCGCTTGCCCATCCGTGCCGTGGCTTGCCCGTGTGCGCCGTCGGTGCTTGCCTGTGCGTGCCCGCGATTGCCCTCGCACATCCCGTGCACGTGCGCCTCTGCTGCTGGGTGCACACAATTTGAGACTGCATTGTGTGCGCGTGGAGGTGGCAGTGGTTCGAGCACTGCGCTACGAATCCAGCTACCTGGATTTCATTCCCAAACGGAGGCTAACTTCAGTGGCCTCTTGGCTAGGTCAACTGATCCTTAAATGAGTATCTGGTGTGGTGTCGGTACATTGCACGAAGGAGAAAAAAGGCGCCGGGGCATGGTGCTGACCACACCGACCCCTCATGCGCTGCGCGAGCCGTGTTGCTAATGCGTGGGTCTGCGTGCATGCCAGTGCACTTTCCATAATGCCCAAGGCCACCATCGAAGAGGCACACTCTGAGACCGCTTTCTCCCCATGCATGCGCCGTCTTTTTAAGCGAGCTCAGGCCAATCGCTGGACTCCCTGACTGCAGGAGAAATAGCCGCATCTGCCACTGGGCCACTTGCGCGGCTGGTCAGGCGCTCGTAACGCTAAACCGTTGCCTTGCAGACGGCGGCAGGAGTGTCGCGCTGCGGCCTCCGTACCGGCTCGCTGCGCAGCTCGCGCGGAGCCAGGCCGTCCCCCGCGTCGCGTTCTCCCAGATGAACGCCACACTCCGCCACAGCTGCTGTCCATGCACAGGCTCTGCCCCTCAGGGACGCTGCCCCTCTGCGAGAGGTGGGTACCGCCTTCCAGCTGCGCCCCTGGCGTCGGCACCGCCGCCACCGTACGCTCCTATGAATGTCGCCCCCTGCTTCCTTCTCGGTGATCTCGCTGCGTGCGTTGTATCAGCGTCGTGGAACCCTGTAGCTTTGTGTCGTTCAACACGCGGTGGATATGCAGAGATTTTTTTAATAAGGTTACCGGAGCGGGGAAGGAGGTGGGTGCGTTGCCTGTGACTGTTTGCGAACCGCTTAGGGCCAAGGCTTCTCAACTATAGGGGTCCGTAGACCCGTTGGGGTGGATGGGAGGGGGCAGATAAGACAGGCCGAGAGCTTTATTGGGATACACGTGAAAATCTAAAGGGGGTTCACATTCGGGGTTTCATGAAAGAAACGGAGATGCAGTCTCACTGGATCCACATGTCAGTTGCCATTCCCCTTCACTTCATCGTTCAGACAATAGCCAGTGATACAGCCTTAGACACGTTACATAATTCTGTAAATATGACTCCACACAGCCAACACTGAGTGTGTTATCCCATTCTCAGGGGTCCTTGGTGCTAAAGCAGTTGAGAAGCCTTGGCTTAGACGAGGATCTGGTCGTGCGTGTGGATCGGAATGGGGGTCGACACATAATCATCGCCGCCCGGTTCGGCGTGGATTGTATCGGCGACCCTGAGGGTCACTGTGCCTCCACTACCGCCAACCACGTCTTGCCCGACTCAAACCGCTGACCCCAACCCACCACCTATTTGTTTCTGCACCTATGGAAGAAACCAAAAAAATCTACTATTCATAAAGTAATTTGAACCGAATCATTGGGTTAGAGCTATTACGAAATCAAATCACGTCGTAGTAGACGTGTGATATTTTGGGCAGTGGCCTGAACGTGATGCTGCTGCTGGGCGTCTTGACATTTCAGAGTGACGGGGCAGCTTCGGTGTGCTGCAGGCTGTGGTGCCGCATGCCCTGGCCTTGTTTACACGTTTTGTTGTTTTTTTCCGTTAACTCTGCCTCAGGGGGGAGGGGGGGGCACTTGACGCGAGCGTCGCCATGGCGGCGCTCCATCACGAGCGGCCACCTTGTCCCTCCTCCGCTCCCCCTGGCCAACTGAATCCGCCTAGCCAGCATCTTTCGTCGGCAAGTTCCTGCTGACGATGCGTCTAACGAGTTGGTGCTATGACATTCCTGGGGGTGTTCAAAGTCTGCCTCTTTTGCATTTCATTTCTCTCGGTCGAAGTTACGCGGCGACAACTCATCCGCGTACCGCGTGACGGCCACGTGGCGTCGTCGCAGCCTGGTATCGTCATCGTGGTGTCGTCGCCTGGCGTCGCGAGGCATCGTAGTGTCGTGATATTGTCGTCGTGGTGGCGTCGTCGTTGCATGGCAGAGTCCGTAGACTCTGCTTCAAGCCACCCCTACGCAACATCCTCACTCATCCGGCCGCCATTTGGCGTCTGCGTGCGTCACCGATTGATTCGCATGCGAGTGCACACGCTGCCGCTGGAGGAAGCCTGGTCGTACCAGGGGCATCGGAAGCACCGGTGCTTTACACGGTTTTCGCGGAGCGCTCCCGTACTATGCCGATGTTCTGAATTTCAGAGCAACTGTACCGTGCCGAAACTTTACGCTGCTCTGCCCCAAGTTTGTTTTGCCCGCGCGGCAGTGAGCTGCTTTGCTGTGCGTTCGCCCGCACGCCGATTGACGACGCTTCGGCAGGCGTGCTCGCATCTTGTTTTAATAAGCGGGAGTCGACGTGGCTCGTGGAAAGCCCAATCCAAAGCTGTGCTCGGCATGCAGAAAACGTCATCGTAGGGATTGTAATTAGTTGATGGAATGTTTGTACACATTTCAAGGCCTTATCGGAGTCGTGTTGCTTCCGCCCTGTGACGGCGTAAAAACCGTTGCCGTGCTCACGTCGCCATCTGTCTCTGCTGACCGCGTCGTCTCGCTCGGCCTCGCTCCTCCTGGGACGTCTGCGGTCTCCGCAGCACGGCGTGCTGGACGCGAGCCGTGTCGAGGTTGAGAGATGAGAGTGGCAATCCAGTGACGTTATCTCCTACTTCCTGGCGGTATGGTCACGTCTTGATGTGCCCCAGCACTTCCCCTCGCGCACACATGCTTCGCCACATTATGTTTACACGGATTTCCCTTTTTTTCCTCCCCGATTACGTTCGTGCTGTGCCGACGTCACTTTTGTCATCGGACCAAGGGATTTGGAAGTCTTACAGTCAGCAGTGTGCCGCCATGTGTTAGAGAGTGGCCCCAAGCTTCGTGAAACAACTTAATTCGCCTCTGTATCCACACCAAGAGCACACCTTGGCATCTTCTTATATGGCCTGGAACAAGTCTTCTTAGCACGTCATGTCAACTAATGTCTAATTCTCACAACTGGAATATGATAAATTGATTGACAAAAAACTGTAGTTTGGCTTTGTGTTTTTGTCCTGGCACAGGTGGCCAGTCTGAGACCATTGACTCTCTACGCTTAATAAGCCGGCTTAGTGGCGGGCGGCTCAAACCGGAATTCAAACCCGGGGTCTCGGCGGTGCTGGCTCTGCGCTCTGACTTGGAGCCACCCGGTGACCTCCGTCTGCCAGATTGTGTGACGCATCTGCTGCTGCCTGTATGGGTTTACGAAGATGTCGCGGTTGCACCGACAGGCAGCAGTGGTGTGTGGGGGTTGGTTTTGTTTGTGGAAAGTTGCACCTGCATTTGCTTTGGTGGCGTGGCGTGGCATGGCTCATGGTACATCGCTCGCACTGCGATGATGTGGGATGTCTGGTGTCCAGGTGCCTATGCAGGCTGCGTAGCGAGTGTGAGGCCACCTGTTTACGAGCTCTGCTGTGCGAGCTGTGAGCGAAGAGACTTGGAGAGGGACGACGTTGGCATGTGGTGACTCGGTACTACAACTGCTGCTGTTTGTAACGAAAGTTTGCGTTCGTACGCACGAGACGAACCTCCTTCAAACATGAATGCAAACGCTTCCTGTGGCTGTTGTAAGAGTCAATCCATGATTCAAATGTCACAACAAATAAGCCCTTTTTGTTAGGAGGGCGTGAGACAATTACCGTTGTTGAGACATTGTGTGCACGTGACCACCAATGCGATGAAGGCGACACGGCCCAATACTCGCATGTATCACTCCAGGACCTCTCATGGTTCCATGACCATTGGGCGCAGTGGCCCCAGAACAACCAAGTTCTATTGCAGGATGAACTGCACGATACTGGTTCTTGTTAACCTCCTGCTGTGCAGCCTGAGTGTCAGCTGCTGCTGCTGGTGGTGCTATTTGTGGTGCGGGTGCTGCTGATAGTGCTTGTGGTGGTGTGTATTGTCATGCTGCTGTCGGCTGATGTGGTGGTTGATGCTTGTGTTGTGGTGGTGGTGGAGGTAGTGGTTGTTTTTTGTGGTGGTGGCTCTTGATCCGTGGTGGCTACGTGGGGTTGTGACAGGCATTTGCCCTGTCTGGCTATGCATCCCATGTACGTCTGCGAAGTAAGGCCTGCTCCCTATAGCTCATCCCCTCTGCTCCCCTCTTGGATTCAAACCATAGCTTCACCTACTGGCTTTGAGTAACGAGCTGCGGTGTCACCTATGAGGGACACGTCAAAAAGAATGCCTGCTTGGGTTTCTTAATAACCTTCACTGAACCAATACAAAAATTTACCATCCACTGGTAGCAATGTAATTAATGTCTAGAAAATTAGTTTTCTGGCGAAAGTCTTCCTCCTACAAGACAATTTCAGACTACATACGAGCCTGAGAACATCAGAGACCAGTGGGCAGTATATTCACCAGACAGCCACATCTGGCAGGGCAGGATGTTCATCTGTTTGGCCCTTTAAAGTTTGCCTGTGGGCCAACATTTTGTAAATAACACAGCTGTTCACAAATTGTTTTGACACTGATGAATCCCTCAAATAGGGTGGAATGCTGGCCCTGGTTCTACTTTGGTGCAAGCGCATTGCAGTGGACCAGAGTAAAAAACTAAACTTTCAAAATATGACACAATATAAGGACACATTTTCCATAATTTAAATAGATTTCATCATCATCAGCTATGGTCCGTGCACTGCTAGATGAAGTTCCTCCCCAAGCCATCGCCATCTCTCAATTCGATGTTGTAATCGAAATAGACGTTTGGGGCACGTGCTGTTCACGAGCGCCTATGAAGGCCAGCACGGCACACAGGGGGGCGGGTGGCCAGCACCACGTCCGGCTGCCTTTGTCTCCCCAGTTGCGATTTTTACACACTGCACCAGGTACTCTTTTGAGGCTGAGTCAACCGAGGGGAGCCCCAGGACCAGTTCAGATATTCGAGCGGGAATCGAACTCGCGTGGCTGGATTTGTAGCGCGGTGCGCTAACCACTGCACAAACCGCCGAGCACTTTCACACGACCTGATATCATCGGTCCATCTTTTGTCGTGGACGTGCTCTCTCGAGTGTTCCCTCCTTGTGCTGCCACTCGATTGTCATGCCCTGTTATGAAATAGAAGGCGGCATTACTTTTCTGGGCGTCCCTCATATCCCGAGTGTGTTTCCACGAACCCGCTGTGATAGGTGTCCCAAATCCGAAGGAGCAGTTGGCGTGGAGGTTTTTATATCGTACCTTGAGGGGCTGCTGGCTCCACACATTGCACGTCACCCCCACGTACGTGTTCCATGCGTCCAATGTCTTTGTTCTAATTTTATCCAATGCCACATGGGATGACTTTTTTGCTGCTCGTCAACGGAGGTGTGCTTCCCTGCACCTCTGGTACATGGCGGCCCTCGACTGAGCTGGGATTGTGAGCTTCACACTAATGCTGTAGACTCTGTAAAAATGTTTATTTTTTTAAGTTGAAATGTTATGTAGTATTGTGTAGTAAGTCAGAGCTGATGGCAAACATTTTACTGACACCTCTCCAAGCACCGCTTCCTCTACGACCCAGTACAATCTGGTTTATCACCCAAGGCCATTTCACTGCTAGCCTACGTGTGGTAAGTTAAATTGTTCTCTCCATCGACCGTGGATCGCTATCACTCTGTTTCTCCTAGACCTCCGCTTTCAACGCCATTGACGTCTGCGCAGGAACTTGTCTATAAGCGCGTAGGCTTCTCCAGCTCCCTTCTCTCCTGGTCTGCTGCTCCCTCTAGAAACACTTCTGCTGAATTTCCATACAAGGACAGTCGAACTCTGAGAAACCCCTGTGCTGTCGTGTCCCAATGGTTCCACCCTCGCCCCTGCCACTTAGCTAGTACATCTCCCGTGCAAAAATTATAAATACTAAATTTGGTATTTCACTTAGATTCGCTGCATTCGAGAACCTGGTGTGTAACTATGGTGTCGGCTCAGAGGTCCCAACATCACTGTGCTTGTTATTGTGTTTCTTGGTAGCATCACGATTATATCATGGCCATCACGCCTGGCGCTGTGATGTGCTCCCGCATTCTCTCACGATGGGAGCAGTGGTCATGTCTGTCTGTGGCTTGGTTTCTCACCCTAACTTGTGGTTGAGTTAGGAACTCGCGTTGCTTGTGTAAGTCGGGTAAAGCTACCAATGTGTCACATTTTGGCCACGACAGCCTTTGTGAAAATCATTATTGTCTCTGGTTTTAAATATTTTGGCCTCGTGCACAATTCATGATAGGGGTTAAAGAAAGTACCGTGGCCTTGTGTGTACCCTGAACATTTGGTGGGGCCTTGGTGGGCATAGCATATAGTAGACATGGCCAGCATCATATAGAGGCCACACACTGGGCTGCGTGGGGCTGACAGAGGGGAGGGGCTGGCAGATCAATGTGTGTCCTGGTTGAGCCTTCCGGAGAATTGTTAGATTTAACGTGGGGACTGAATCGTCCGTCGATTCAATATCTGCATCCTGGATGAAACGATTTGGTCATGAGGTGAGCTGCACCCTCATGACAGCAGAGAACTTGCAAGAATGTGATGTCTGTGCTGGTGGTGCCAGAACATTCCTGAAGTTCACTTTGCAGCAGACGGCTTGAACCTTGCCACTTGAAGGTTGTAAAGAAAATAATTAAATATGGCTGTCGTACGACTTGAATTGCATTCAGACAGGTTGAGTTCTGTGTGAGTCGCACCACCTGCATCCCCCTCCCTCAAGCCCGGGGCTCATTTCACCTTCCCCAGTGACGTTTACAATAAACAAAAAGCAACTTGCCTGAGGCTCTTTCCCAGATTATATTTTTAACTTGACGCCACCGCCACCACTTCTATGCACCCCTTGTAATCCTGAACCTTGGTAACTGGCGCATCGGTGCGGTTGCAGCGTCTGAGAAGCGACACGTTTCATTCTTGAAACATTGCGAGGCAGTTTGATCGCGGTAAAACCTACTGACGGATCGCAGGGGTATCCTCCCGAGACGTCGAGCGTCCGGTCCGCGTGCTTCTCACCCCAGGACCAATCGTGACCGGGCTGAAGGGTAAAGTGGCCGCGTCGTGTACCTAGCGCCAGTAGTAGAAGTTAGAACAGATTATATTTTTGAATTTCCCTTTTGCTGAGCGCACTCATCATGTAAACGGTGTGCCCTGGGTGACCATTGGCCATCACCCAAACACAGCTGTGGGCTCGGTGGGGCGCTGCACTGCATCCACCGGTAAAGGCCCGGCACTTTCGTTTGGAATTGGTCTTGATGTACAGAAACAATGCAAGGTAACGGGGATAACAGTAGAAATGGAAACCGCTGGCCATGTAACGATTCCCCCCCCCCCGACTCTCCAACAATTCTATGAATTGGCACGATTCGGAGTGTCGATTTAATCCAATAATCATTATTTTTTTATCGAATTTCTGTCTCAACAGAAAAGTTTTGTTTGTTACATTAGCCTTAATGTAACTTGAGCATATCGTTTGTGTAAATTGTACTCAATCGATTCTTACACAGAAGACTCGATGCGTGTCTGGTGATGGATATAATCTATTTTATTCTGAATCGTCACGTGCCCCCCGGTAGCCACGCTCGTGGGACTTGCCTTGTGGAGACGCACGCCGCTCACCGCTCGTGAAATCGCACAAAGCATCACGATGCAGACTCCCACCTCGGTGCTTTTATTTGTCTCTGTCGCTTACGTCGCAAGACGTCTCTTCGGCTCCAGTTAATATCACACTCAGCTGTTGTCTTACTTGAAGTTACCTTGTGTATATATATTTTTTTAAACCGAAGACTGCTCGGAAACGGTGTAAATTATTTTCTAACTAGTAACGGAAATGCATTGCCTTTAGGGAACAATGCTAAACGTGGCTTAAGTATAATGCATTTCTTCCTTTTGTTTTGAATGTCCCAACTTGTATATTGACCCCACAACTGCAATGGAATCTGCCCCCACCCCTTTTTTATATTGCCGTTTGATTTGAGTGGTTTTGAGAGTGGCGAGGCCATAGTAAATACTGTATAATATCGTCTTCATACTAGATGTGTCGTCCCGTAGTTGTGGTCCACTATGCTTAGCATGTAGGGGACAGTATTGCTTTCATCACATGCATTACCATTTACTGTGAACAATAAAGTATTGATACATCGCGGAGTGAAGGCCAGGCGTCTGCTTATTTCTAAATGTGCGTTGTGCAGGCGTGAAACTGCGGTGGGCACCCACCGCCAGCCGGTTCCACACACGAGTCTGACATTTACCCAAAGTAGCCAGAGGCACCAAGTTTAATTGTGGCCGGAAGGCCGTACACTGACATCACAATTTTACCACGAGACTAACAAAGGCGTTCACCACAACCGATTAAGACAAATGGGGTGTTTGTGTATATGTTTAAACATTATATACACGGGGACAATGTACACGAGACTCACGTTCCATTGAGCTTTACCATCCATGGACCAGATCAGATTCTTAACTTGTTCAAACGTTGGTTTTATATTTTGGAAAAGGTCTATGGCCAGATGTGATATTTGAATGATGAGTCGTTCAACTTTATTGGCTACCCTTGAAAAATATTTTTCCTCTTGCAAAAATACAAGACTACTCAATGGCTCTCGCCTGGTTCTTAGATTAACTCCTTTAACGGCTTTATCTATTGTTACGATTCAATTCAAGAATATTTTTTTTATTGTGAAGGTTGGCAGATGTATGTTGTTCAAATTGTTTCGCGCCGTACGTAGCCAACCGTGCTCATCGGAGGTGCTGGAGGTCAACAGACTAAACACGAAAGCAGCTCTGAGGGTCTAGTGGCTGTGCTGGTGACGTGAACAAGTTAATTGACAAACGGAAAAACAGAAATTCTTACAGATGCGATCCAATGTATATATCATGAGCTGAAAAATCAACGTCATGTCGTTTTTATACTAACATAATTTATACCTACTTGCTTTAAATGTTTGTACGCACAAGGACATTGGTTCGTAACAATTCCTGCACTGGCCCACGGACTGAAGAGTGATATTTATATCCATGCAAGGTATGTGCGTCATGTAGGGAGGGGGCTGTGGTGCAGGCGCGCTGCGGAGAGGCTGCGTAGGCGACACGCAAGGTGAAGGTCGCGCTTTGTGTTGGCACCGCGCAGCGTCGCGATGGCAACAGTTTTGGCGCTGTCTGGGAGCCGCCCGTTCCACCCCCTCCCCTCTCCACACCTCAGGTGCCGAGCCTGAGCACCACGGCGATGATGACGGCCGTGGTGACCATGAGGGTGAAGGGCAGCCACGTCTTCAGGAAGCCCCACATACTGCGCACACACACACACACGTGTACGCATGCACGAGAAAATCAGGAGTCATCGCGAGGCACGGCAAAGCCACAATAAACACGGTCGAGTTAACAGGGAAATACTTCTGCGTGTAAAGAGCGTGAGTGGTGGGTCCTATTATCCGCAAGTAGTCGTTTTTTTAACAGCACTTTATTACATTTAATACCTTCTCGAGTATTACGGAAACATTTATAGCAACTCGTCAAATGTTTTTTCCAATAAACTGATGACTCATGGCAACCAGAGAAACAAATAATTGCTAGGGGTTGGTAGGTTTAACCATAACACTCCCAACACTCTTACCGACGTTTACACATGGGTGTGTGCGTGTCGTGTAATGGTTAGCACAATGCACTCCAAACCCAGCAACCCAAGATCAGTGAGGAAAATCTGAACTGGTCCTGGGCCTGCCCGAGGTCAACTCAGCCTTGTACGAGTACCTCGCGCAGTAACTATCAGTGCTGGTCACACCACATCATCATAGGTGTGCTGCGCCAGCCTTCACAAGTGCTCACGAACAGCAGCCTGTGTAGGCCACACGGGGAGGTGCTGTCTGTGTGCACGTACATACCTCACGTGGCGACCCCGCACCAGCATGAGCACGCAGAGCCGCACCATGCCCCAGTCGTCACGCCCTCCGTAGCGCATGAGGTTGAGTGCCATGGCGACGTGCGAGTGGCAGTTGTCGCAGCACAGATTGTGCTGCAGAGACGCACAGATCGCACCCGCCACATTCCCTTCCGCCTGTATATTTGTACAGTATGACTTAATAGTTATGCAAATGCATTTTCCTTAACTATATTTTACTTACCAGTACAAAAGCTGAAGGATTAGGAGCAGGGCAGAAAGTGTTTGATTATTTGCAAATAATATTTCTCTGGTTTGTCTCCCTAATCAATTTGGTAGTTTTTCAATGGGTAAGTCACTCGGCAATGTAACCTGACATTACAGGTTTGTTCACATTCGATCTTTACAAAATTCATAGCATTCCCCTCCTCCAGACAGAGCTAAGGCTTAATCCCTTTTCATTTGAGTTGGAAAGCGTTCATAACCAAGGGATTTATCCAGGAAATCTTGCTGGGTCCAGAGGCTTGCAGGACAGCTTTGCACCAGTTATTCTCATGAGTGTTTGCATATGGGCAGAAACCGAAGGCGTGGTCGATACCGAAAGGTCCCTTACGGACAAATTCATAAACCCACTTGCTATGCTGCTATTTCTTGGCCATCTCAGTCCAGCGGGGATTTTGCGGTTTCACGAATCTGAGTAACCAACCCTCAACTCTACAGCAATGGATTGCAGGTGAGGGCACCACACCCGGCTTGCGGAAGCTGAACGGATGCTGGAAGGACACTGCTCATGGCTGTCTCCAGGACATCCTCGGAGTGCATTCAAGTGGCAGCATCTTTTGTTTGGCTACATATTATTTTGGCGATACTGCATCGGCAGTGGCGCACAAACCACAAAAAACTCATCACAATGCCTTATAAAGAAAGAAAAGGTAATGTTTTGGACAATGGCCCAATTCACAGCACAAGCCAGAGAAGTAAATTAACTATTCGATACAATTTATTTTTAAGACTCCGTTACTGACATGAGTGTTTTTGTTCGTAGAGTACCAAATGCAATGTGGAAGCTGCCTCGATGTAGCTCGTCAGCTCTCACTTCCCCATGCAGTCATCGAGGTTCTTAGATCATACTTCACCATGGATGTTGCTGAACTGCCCTCTGCTGACCACCCCGTCGAGCTGCAGAAAACTACAACTGTTTCATGCACGGTAGTTGTCCACCCAAACACGACCCAGGATCGACATGCACGAACACTCCGGGTTAATCCAGGCTGAATTCCACAAGGGGCTTGCAGACACTAACCGGATGTTGGGCTCGCGAGACTCATAATTCACAGGGTATGTGTTAAGGGGGTGGGTGGGGGGTCTTTGTGGTTGGACGTGCCATGCGATGCTTGTATTCTTCCGAGGCCTCGCTGATGGCCTTGTCCCACGCATTGGGGTGACTGACCCCAACCTTGCTCGGCTCCAGCATCCAGTACCTGCAAGACCAGCACCAGCGGACTCATCAGGACTGGACTATCACAGCCCAGCTGGTGCCAGCAACACGTCTGCACGTCAAGATCAATAAACATACATCATGACCAATACTCCCACCATCACTCTTTACCACACTACTAATGCCACCACCGGCATAACCACCCCACGTCTCCTTCCAGCCGCACCGTTTATCGGTATCATGCACTCCAGATCTCCATTATAAAGTGGCTGGGCAACTGGCTCAACAGGATCATCCGTGTAACAAATACATTTAACACACTCAGTTTTATCTCACACTCAATGCCTGGTCACCATCCACTGCTAACACCAACCACCGCTCAATCACCTAAATGTTTACGGTCACTCCCCACCCATGGTGACTATCCGTGACGCCTTTAGCGAGCTGGGGTGGTGGAGTGAGCGAGGCAGGCGGTGATGAAAAGCCACTCACCGGGTGGGGTTCCCGAACGCCATGTTATCCTCCTGAAAGATGAGAACCGTGTCAAAAGTAATATTTTAAAATACTTTTTTAAAAACACGCTTTAATGAAATGTACGCTACTCGTAATTGCAGAACTTCACGACTCCAGGAAGTGGCCCCGACGATTGCCACAGCGTAAGGGGCCGTGGTGATTTACAGCCAACGTTAGTTGAGCGTGGAAAATTAGACCCAAACCGACACATAACATATAAAAAATTATGTTTAAAAACATATATTTTTTATGATAGAATATAGTATTGTCATCAGTATGGCATAAGTATACCAAGTTTGCAGTCGATACCACATTGGGAAGTGGGTTAAAATTTAGTTACAAGATTTGAGGATACAACAACAGACAGTGAGTAAAACTAAAGCGTGTAAAAAAACATAGATTCATGGGACTTTTCTAGCCAGTATGAAAATATAAGAATTGGTTTTACCCTTTCTGGCAATAAAAAGTTGTGTTAAAATATTAAACACCAAACATAAACCTTTTGCAAGGAATCGCGTCTCCATTAACCACACACACTTGTGAACATGGCAATATGTTGAAAACGATTGGGTCACATCTGTGGCGGGTGAACGACACATCTATACGCCATCCAACCCATACCAGCACCTGGACTGTATTAAAGTTAACATCTCCTAGCCACCGCTGCTTCAACACGTGTCAACGCGTCTGAGCATTTGCGACGACACCACGAGACCCTGGAGACCCCAGGCAACGTGCTGACGACGATGGCGGAACGAGTGGAGTTGTGCGCCTTTTGGCGTCATCTGGTCCAACACCAGGGTGAGACGAGGCTCTAAGAAAAGCTGTCTCGGGTGTGGACCAATCAATTTTAAGGACGGTGCATACATTATCAGAGTTGTGGTGTTTGTTTGCATTCCGACCGCAGGTATTGTGGTCAATGCAAACACGACTCCTTGTAAAAAAAAAGGTGTCAGTTTTGTTGCCAGATAAAAGGGTAAAAAACCAATTATCATATGTTGCTACTGGCAAAGGAGGTTCCAAAAGTGGAGGACACTGACTTTGAAGCTTTTAACAAACATTGGCTATCACGTCACAGTCTATTTTCCGGGTCACCCCCCCCTCCTCCCATTAAAACGACAGTCCCCATATCCATGTTGTTTTTGAAGCGCCCTGCAACACAACAACAGCAACAGGAGAGGCCGCACGTGCCCCGCCGCCACCCACCGACACGAAGTAGGGCCCCGCGAAGTCCCTGATCACCCCGGACGCCATCGCGATGCCCATGTGCCCAATGAAGGGCACGAACCAACTGCACGCAACGCGGGGGGCGGGGGGGGCACTTAGATGCCCGGCTGGGCGAGCTTGCGACGCTTTGATGCGCATGTGTTGCACTGTGCTGCACTGTATATACTCGACGTGCGCTTGTATCGTTTGCGTACCGTAGGCTACTACAGTGTGTGTGGACTGTACAGTAGACTGTAGTATACTGTACAGTAGACTGTAGTGTGTGTACTGTCTTGTAGACTGGTGTACTGTACAGTAGACTGGTGTACTGTACAGTAGACTGTAGTGTGTGTACTGTCTTGTAGACTGGTGTACTGTACAGTAGACTGTAGTGTGTGTACTGTCTTGTAGACTGGTGTACTGTACAGTAGATTGTAGTGTGTACTGTACAATAGACTAGTGTGTACTGTACAGTAGACTGTAGTGTGTACTGTACATTAGACTGAAATGTGTACTGTTCATTAGACTGTAGTGTGTACTGTACAATTGACTGCAGTGTACTGTATAGTAGACTGTAGTGTACTGTATTGTAGACTGTCCTGTATTGTAGATTGTAGTGGACTGTATAGTAGACTATTTCTAGATTTGAAGCTTTCGTGACTGCAAGGATTCATACTCTTAGTTCTTTCGGTAAAATCACGTAGGTAAAAAATGAAATTAAAATTTCATTTTTTACCTACGTGACTTTACCGAAAGAACTAAGAGTATGTATAGTAGACTGTAGTGTACTGTATAGTAGACTGTAGTGTATGTACTGTATAGTAGACAGTAGTGTACTGTTTTGTGGACTGTAGTCGCGTGAATGAATGGGGCCCATGGCCCCGTCGCTCGCCTGAGGCACGGGATGGGAGTCCACACCACGCAGAAGGGGAAGCGGCTCCGCGCCACATCCACACCGCTCCACGCCGCCCCGGGCCTCATGTCCCCCGCGTCTCCCGTGTCTGTGTCTCCCGTGTCCCTAGTGTCTCCCGTGTCCCTGGTGTCTCCCGTGTCCCTGGTGTCTCCCGTGTGTCCCACGTCGCTGCCTCCCCCGCGTCTCGTCTCCTCCATGCGCCGTTGACAACCGCTCCGCACGAGGTCGTGCCAACTCAGAGGGGGTTTACCTCCAGATACACAGAAGTTCCGGTGCCAGATCAGAGGTTTTACCTCCACGTTGAGTCGTTTTTGTAGGTCGAGGCGTGAGTGGTTTACCTGCAGACGGAGAGATTGTGTCATTTCAGGTCACCAGGTGGTTTCTAAATAAAACATCTACTCTGGCACCAGTGATCTAGAGGAAATACCTCTGTTCTAGAGGAAAATCCTCTGTTCTGGAGGAAAATTATCAGTTCTGGCTCCAGTGATCTGGAGGAAAACCTTCTGTTCTGGTTGCAGTGATCTAGAGGGAAATCCTCTGTTCTGGTTCCAGTGATCTGGAGGAAAACCCTCTGTTCTAGTGCCAGTGATCTAGAGGAAAATCCTCTGATCTGGTTGCAGTGATCTAGAGGAAAATCCTCTGATCTGGTTGCAGTGATCTAGAGGAAAATCCTCTGATCTGGTTCCAGTGATCTAAAGGGAAATCCTCTGATCTGGTTCCAGTGATCTGGAGGAAAATCCTCTGATCTGGCTCCAGTGATCTAGAGGGAAATCCTCTGTTCTGGTTCCAGTGATCTAGAGGAAAATCCTCTGATCTGGTTCCAGTGATCTAGAGGAAAATCCTCTGATCTGGTTCCAGTGATCTAGAGGGAAATCCTCTGATCTGGTTCCAGTGATCTAGAGGAAAATCCTCTGATTTGGCTCCAGTGATCTAGAGGGAAATCCTCTGTTCTGGTTCCAGTGATCTGGAGGAAACTCCTCTGATCTGGTTCCAGTGATCTAGAGGAAAATCCTCTGATCTGGCTCCAGTGATCTAGAGGGAAATCCTCTGTTCTGGTTCCAGTAATCTAGAGGAAAATCTTCTGATCTGGTTGCAGTGATCTAGAGGAAAATCATCTGTTCTGGTTCCAGTGATCTGGAGGAAAATCATCTGTTCTGGTTCCAGTGATCTAGAGGAAAATCCTCTGATCTGGTTCCAGTGATCTGGAGGAAAACCCTCTGATCTGGTTCGAGTGATCTAGAGGGAAACCCTCTGTTCTGGTTCCAGTGATCTAGAGGAAAATCCTCTGATCTGGTTCCAGTGATCTAGAGGGAAATCCTCTGTTCTGGTTCCAGTGATCTAGAGGGAAATCCTCTGTTCTGGCGTCCGTGAAACCCGTGGGGAGGGGGCGTGGCTTCCTTGAGGTCTCGCATCCGGGCCCCGCACCCCACTCAGGGAAGTCGCCGCCGTCTCCCCTTGCCGAGGTAACGAACGCGGTGGGATTTCTACTCGGCACGCGTGGTAACACCCGAGCCCGAGCGAACGAGTGAGCGTCCCGGGTCTCGCCTTGAGCCCGGGTCCCCCGTGCCCTCCGCGGGTTCCGCGCCGCGGTCGCCGCGGTCCCCTTGACCCCGTGGCCGAGCGCCGCTTGGCCCAGCGCGGAGCCTACGGGCTTGCCTGTTGGGCCGGCCGGGACAGGCAGACCTTGGGCGGCCGGGCCGGGTGGGCGGGCATAGGTCGGGGTTAGGATTATAATTTATTAAAATGTCCGCAGCAATAACGTCATCGTCACCACCGTCGTGTTCGTCACCACCTTCCTCATTATACTTGTCAACGTAATCATAATCATCGAGTGTTAATCAGTTCCATAATTAGGCGTCGTCGTCACCATCAACTTCATTAGGCGCGTCGTAATCTCCATCTCTGCACACTCCGCGTAACCATCAATGACATCGTCAATAACTTAAAACCCGTGATCTGTATCATCGGTGTCATCCTCGCCATCATCGTTATAACTTCGCGATTCACGTATTTAACGTCATACCCCAACATCCACATTCTCGTCGGCACAATTCTTCTTAATTCGTCGTCAACTTTCATGGTCACGGATCTTCGCCGTCTACGCGGGCGGCAGCGCGGACTCGAGAGGAAGCCACGCCGCTGGTGTAGGCAGTCACAGGCTGACGTGTCGGGCAATGCCACTCTTTCAGAAAGTGTCTTATATATAATAGAGTTATAGGGCAGTGTTCATTACGTGCGCTCAAATTACATCGTTGACTTGTTTCGCGTATAAATGCGACCAGAAACTGTGGGATTTTCATTTTATGGAGAGCGAGAGAGAGAGAGCCAGTCAGTCATAGGTAGAGGAGAAGAGGGTGGTGGTATTGATCCTTAAGTTGAATCTGGTTCGGGGTTGATAGCACGGACAGCAGAGGAATGGGACTGCAGAGGAGAATCAGTGGCCTGCTGCTCGACAAACTTAGTAACTTAAACTTAGCGAATGTTCGTGAGTTTAATGTATGTGTGCTTGTGCACCGCAGTCATTATCCTAAAGAAGTTGTTGAGGGAGAGACCCGGGTAGCCATGGTTACGTAATAAGAGTTACTCGTTAGCGAAGTGTACAGCGTCAAAATATCAATGTAGGCGCTGGTGAGTGTGTCATGCTTGTGCAATGACGACACTGGCACATGGTCGACCTCGCGCGAGCAGCGTCACCGAGTAACACACAGCACAGTCATTGGACAAGTTCGCCTTGGCTAAGGGGGTTGGTTGCTAGGGGTGTGGGCTATGGCTCGAGTTATATTTAGTACAAATAGGAGTTAACTATTCCCTCCGCCCTCACGCTGGAAGAAATATTGCAAATCTAGGTAAGGAATCGATGCAAGAATCACGTTTTTGGAACATGGTGGTAAATGTAACGGTCTGTAGTGGCTGGAGGGGTCATGTGAATCCATTTCCTGCAACATACAGTATATGAATCGAAAGATATTCTTAGGTTTTTTCGGTAAAGTCACGTAGGTAAAAAATTTAAATTAATAAAAGTAAAATCAAATAAAAATCACGACGTTTCGGAGGCAACACAAGCTTCCGTCTTCAGGTGGAACCGTCACAGCACGATAGCTGTATCAAGTGAGAGCTTCAAATCTAGAATTAATCGAAAGAGCTGACATCGGTGGCAAGTGAACTGCTTTGGCATCCCACGTGCCTCAACCCACTGGTCTGACCATGTCTCGCGGGCCTCGCCTCTGCAGGTGGAACAGCGGTTGCGGGAGCGGAGCAGCAAGGAAGCGATGCCGATGGGAGAGGCGGAGAGCGACACGCTGGCCTGCCTGCCGCTGGGCGTGCTCCTGGCGCCCGTGTTTCGTGAGGTGCGCTGCCTCGCAAACGCACCGCAGCCGGTGGCCCCAGACCACGAGGACCGTCACGCAACCCTTATCCCCTTCTTTACAAAATACTTCATAGCTCATCGGATTATTCCAGTGTCAATACATATTCTAATACTCATGTGTCTTAAATGTATCGTCCTTGCATGATCCCCAATCGTGTGGAGTCACCACTCATTCTAGTGCTAAGCCATTTCCATATTGACTCAACAGTCCTTGATATCTTATTTAAAAAATTACTTCAGACCACCTCTTTTCAGGCTCAACCCTGATTTCCTTCTGAAATCAGGTGCATTGCGGATGATTTTGTAAGAGTGGTATATTTATCATGTATACAAATGAAATGGCAATGATATACTAAATATACTGAAACTTGGGGCATTCACAATGTTCTCTCGTCTCACCTAATTAATAAGATGACCGTTGTGTGCTTTATTCCATAGTTGGAGAACACCGACGCGATTGCAGTGAAGCCGCTCCGAGATGCCTTCACAAAGGTTGGTGGCACGTGCGACGGTGTAAAGTTTGTGTGTATGTGATTGCGCATGTGTATTTGTGCATTGGATGTAGCGGTGGGGTAGTGGTTTGTGCAATATGCTTCAAACACTACAATGTGTGTTTGATTCCCAGGTCACAAATAACGTCTCGGTGACAAGTGACATCTGATATGATCTTGGGCTTCTCCTAGGGCGACTAAGCCTTAAATGAGTACCTGGCAAAGTGTGTAAATATCAGAACTGGGGATAATGAGGCTGCTGGTTGTGATTCTGGCCACACCATCTCCTTATATTCTGTGGCGTCCTTCATAGGTGCTCACTAACAGAACTTGCTACACAGGAGATATTTGTCTTCATGATCATGTATGTGCATGTAAAAGTTATTTTATACTTTAGGTGGATTCTCTCATTCGTATTTTGCTGGTCAATTTCATTAAACAGCAGATCCTCATGCATGGGTGCCTCTGAGCTGCTTGTCTGCCTGTTTCACCACGATAAGACCCAGCAGGAATGAGTACACAATATCTCTCATTCTGGATGAAAGGCAGTGAGTTTGGGTAGAACAAATCGTTTTAATACCCCATCTATTAGAATGAACAATGCAGTGTTTTCATTGTCCCCACTAAAGGGGTTCTCAATGTACTATCGCCTTGTGCTCCCATCCTGCACTCCCTGTGCAGGCCGAGTCTCTCAGCCCGGGGTTGACAGAGGAGCTGGTGCTGGGAGTTCTGCAGAGGCAGGCAGTGAACCTCGATTTCCCAGAAGTTCTTCTGCGCATGACGCGACAGAACCTCGATGGTACGCACACTGCCGTTGTCTCAAGCACGCACTGCAGCCACTTCACTGCCTGGTACACCACACAAAACACCACCACCACACAATACACCACCACCTCACAATACACCACCTCCTCACAATACACCACCACCTCACAATACACCACCACTTCACTGCCTGGTACACCACACAAAACACCACCACCACACAAACACCACCACCTCACAATACACCACCACCTCACAATACACCACCCCCTCACAATACACCACCACCACACAAAACACCACCACCTCACAATACACCACCCCCTCACAAAACACCACCACCACCACACAAAACAACACCACCTCACAATACACCACCCCTCACAAAACACCACCACCTCACAATACACCACCACCTCACAATACACCACCACCTCACAAAACACCACCACCTCACAAAACACCACCCCCTCACAATACACCACCACCTCACAAAACACCACCACCACACAATACACCACCACCACACAATACACCACCACCTCACAATACACCACCCCCTCACAAAACAACACCACCTCACAAAACACCACCACCACACAATACACCACCACCACACAATACACCACCACCTCACAATACACCACCCCCTCACAAAACACCACCCCCTCACAAAACACCACCACCTCACAAAACACCACCACCTCACAATACACCACCACCACACAATACACCACCACCTCACAATACACCACCACCTCACAAAACACCACCACCTCACAAAACACCACCCCCTCACAATACACCACCACCTCACAAAACACCACCACCACACAATACACCACCACCACACAATACACCACCACCTCACAATACACCCCCTCACAATACACCACCACCACACAATACACCACCACCTCACAATACACCACCACCTCACAATACACCACCCCCTCACAATACACCACCCCCTCACAATACACCACCACCTCACAATACACCACCACCTCACAATACACCACCACACAATACACCACCACCTCACAATACACCACCACCTCACAATACACCACCCCCTCGTCACCATATCACCATCACAGCCTCTCCACTACAGCACTGCACAATATAATACTTTACCTTCACAACACCAATAACATAATTTATTATTTGTGGGGTCGTGAGGTCCGTTTGATTAAGTTTACATAAATGTATTTGTTTGTGGCAGAGAAAGGTGGTGAGTCACTGGTCAATGAGACCCAGAATGCCATGTGTGAGTCTCCTTGGTTACAAGATAGCTCAGGGGCCTGATGCCATGCCAGGGCGCCGAAACGGCTCCACTCAGATTCTGGATTTTATTCCAGAATGTGAGCCACCCATGATGAAACCAGCCTCAATTGTATCAAGTTGAGGCCTTCAGCCTGGTCACCAATAATAACCAATAACCATCCTATAAACATGGATTATCAGTGAACCTACTTGTTGTTGCAGCTCGTACTAAAACTGTTAGTTTGATTGTTAGACAGAAAGCACAATGTTTTACACAATATAAAAAGGTACATTGTGTAATGTAAATTACAGGTTTATTGACTATATTTCAGAAACTTTTATATGAAATCATCTTCCAGGTCCATTCTCCAACATGAAATGATGTCACGCTGCCCTTCGCCACAATCTCGCCGCACAATGCCGACGGCACAGCTGGAACAAAAACAAAGCTAACGAAATCGAAATCCCTGACAGCGTGCAACAAGAAGTGCCTCGTGTTTGTTTTTGTCAGATTGCAGCATCAAGCGGCCAGAGCCCGAGTTCCAGGATCTGAACAACAAGGCGCGCTCGCTGAAACTCATCCTCAGCAAGATCCCGGACGAGATGTCAGATCGCACACAGTTCCTGCAGACCATCAAGTGAGCGTGCACACCGGCCGATTGGGCGGCCTCGACCGTGCCTTGTGGATTGCCCTTTGTTGTGGGCGGCGGTTGTGGTTGAACCCTGGGTTGTGGTTTGGTTACAGGCACACAGCAAGCGCTATCAGAGAGCTGCTGGACTCGGTCAACCTCGTCTTCCGGAAGTACCCCAACCAGAACAACCGAAGGGTGTGTGACACCACCACAGCCGCAGTCAACACTGACACTACCACCACACACACACAATCGCTGGCATTACACAACCAGACCAACCTAGTGGTGCTTGATTCCATTACAAAAAATCAACACCACTGCCCCAACCAGAGCATCACAAATGTGTTTGACTCAAGTGTGAGTGAGACACATGTGTATGTGACATTGAGAAGTGAGTGAAGTGCTGGTGAATGGGTAATATGCTTTCTTGAGTGTGGGTGAGCGAGGAGGTTGAGAGGCTGGGTGAAGAGGTAGGTCGGTGGTTGAAGAGTTTGTGCCTCTTTGAGGGGGTTAGTGAGTTTGCGGCTAGTGAGTGATGGAGTGTGATCAGTGAGTAAGTGACACGAGCTGATGAGAGTGGCGGAATGGTCCGGCCGTGTTGTTTCCAGGCCCTAGAGAACCAGAAGAAGGAGTTTGTTGTTCACTCCAAGAGCTTCAGCGACGCCCTAAAGACATACTTCAAGGATGGAAAGTGGGTACTGCACCTACCCACACATCTGTCGGTGCATGGTTATACAAGTCGATATGTGAATGCACCATTGATTATTGCATTGATGTGTGTGGAGGTCACCATAGATCTGAAAATGATGTCTGGACATTTATTTCAGCAGTTTAAAACTTTACTTTTATTTTGCTGCATTAACATCAGTGGGTTCTTGACCCTCACAAGCATATGTTCACGTGTGTGTGTACAGAAGTGCCAGTGTTCACGAGAGTGCCAGCCGCCTGGTGTATCAGACCAACGCCATCCTGGAGACGTTCAAAACCGTGGGCACCAGCTGAGAGAGAGGGCTGGCTCTCCACATGCACAGACGCACGCACGCTTACGGGTACACACATCGACAAAGGCACAGACACATAAATGGGCACACGTTGCACGGCGGGTACACGTACAGGCAAGTACGGTAACGGACGCAAGAGCACACACCCGCAGCCCTATGGGCATATGACCGCACGTATCCTGGGAGAAGTACTCATGGCACACAGGCACATCGAGAGGCAAATACACGCACGCCACCTTCGCAAGTTCGCACATCTACCAACGTATCCACGTGCTCGGCATGTACGCTCATAACAGCTTTGACGTTTGCATAGCTGACCAACCCCTGTGAAGCATTGGCGCGCATGCGCAGCATTTACGTGCACGTGTGCATTCGTGATTGCGTGAGCATGCATCCACGAGGGCACGTGCATGTGTGCACGTGTCATAGCCAAGCTCTTGTCCCCAGAGGAGTGCAGGAGCTCACTTAGGCCCCGTCGTACACACGTGATGTCGAGAATATCGACAGTGGCCGACGCACTGCAGTCGGGAGCCCAGATGATTCACATTCACGTGTTGTTGTAGCAGCAGTCATTTCAACGCAGTTCCTCCAATGGCAAATGAATGCACAACCCTATTTAAGTAAGCCAACACAAGATTTTAAGCTCGGCATAGTCGTGGGCAGAGGTTATCCATTGGACTGCACTCAAATTGATTGGTTCATGATTGGAGACCACCCTCTCTTGATTGGTTGATGGTAAGAAACTGTTTTCCCTTGGTTGGTCCAAGGTAAAACACTTCCCTCTTGTGATTGGTCTATGATGACATGCTCACGTTTGATTGGTCGATAGATAACGAACCCATCCATGAGCGAGACCCATGGATGCAGCCGTTGCACTGTGGCGTTGTTACCCTTACCTCGCCAAAAAAAGGGGTGTTACACTTAAATCCACACGGCCGTTATGGTCATACGCGCACCGCCGCAGTGTAACGGACTTGTCGTGTTTTGCGTTCCAGCTCCGTGCTCCAGTCTGCCGGAGGAGACGGCGTGGGTGTGGGGCAGAGTGGCCACAGTTGTGTGTTAATGAGTAAGACAAAAACCAGCCATGAGGAAATGAGTTGGACTGCACCTGGCCCTCGCCCCTCCCCCACTCATCTCCACGGCAGTCACCTCTCTGTAAATACAGTTTTGTTTCAGTCAAGATGCAAAGGTTTCTCTGGTATGTAATGTAGATATCGACCACAATATAAAGTTGTCCGTTTCTCATTGTCTGCGTCTTTGTCCCTGTGCTTCCCTTCTTCTACTTCGTCTCAGTCACTGGGTTTCCAATTCTAAGTAGAGCAATTTATTCCACTAAATACATTTTGTAAAACCCATTTCTCCTTTTTGTGCATCTTAAATGTATTTATAAATTAAATGATTTAAACATTTGATCAGTTTTTGAGTTATCGCATCTTTTTACGGCTGTATACTTATTTTATCCATCTTACTAGATTTTTTAAACCTAGTTTACTCCGATTTACAGCACTTATTTGAGCAAATAGATAAATTGGAAACCTAGAGATTGTCAATTTGCACCTTTGCCCTTGCTTTCCTTCACCCAGCCACTCTTTACCCTGGCTGTAGTCCTTGGTGCAGCGTGAATCAGTGATGTGCTATTGATGTGTGATTACAACTGTAGCGCTGTTCATTAAAACAGCCGTGCAGCTGTAGCACCTCCGATTAACACTGTTGGCTACGTACGGTGTGAAAGAAGTTCAAAATACGTACGTAGCACAGACAGAGCAGGTCAAGCATTCCATCTTAAGTGCACTTTCACCAGAATTATCTTGAAGACCTCGCTCAAATATGTAGGCTCGCTTGTGTGTGTGTGTGCGCAAAGGGAGTGGTGTTGTCGGGATTGGTGCACTGCTATGAACCCAGCAACCTGGAATACATTTCCTGCTTTTGACAACGTTGGTGGAAAGCGGCATCTGGCATTGTTTGGGACCTCCTATAGGTCAACTCGGTCTTAAATGTGTAGCTGCGGCGATGTTTAAATAGCAGCACTAGCAATACGAAAGCAGCTGGGCATGGTGCTACTCTTACCATGTGTGCTGGTCTCATTGGGTGCTCACGAACAGCACTTGGCCCAACAGTGTGTGAAGCTATATGGGGGATCTCTGTGTATATGTGTGTTTACCTCAGGCCTGGATGTTATTTTGTATACATTTTACACAATCTGAGGTGACTGGGTAGCTCAGAGAGGACAGCACAATGAGCTGGCATCGCAGAGATCCTGGATTTGAATCCAGGCTGCCGCCCACTGTGGTTCCCCGGGTCCTCGTGTGTCGTGAGTTGATGGTCTTAACCCAGTCACCAATGACTGCACACAAAAAACTTCACATCAAAATTTGGTTCAGCACTTAATTTGCATAAATCCCATATCTGAAAATTTAAATATCGATTTGACTGTCATGCAACGAACATTACTCTTGTATGGCAGAGCCAGTGGGAAAGAGTGGACCCTGCTGTATGTGTTGGAGGTCACTTGAAGGGATCTCAGAGGGCAACTCTCTGATAAAAAGGGTCGCACTGCTCTGCCAGAGATCTGGGAGTATACTCCGTCTCATGACATGACACCGATAACACAATTGGCATAACATTTAAAAATAAAACAATTTGAATTTTGGTTTGCATTCAATACAAATAATGAAGCACCTGTAGAGTTAAAGCAGTTTTAACCAGTGCTTTCCCATCCCTTTTAGTAACTTTGTCAGGTATTTGTTGCGCATTTGAACTGCTGTTGCTGTTCATCAGGCAGCTGCATCTAAGAGTATGACTTACGGTGTTGTGTACTGTGCTTAATTGCGTCATCGCAAAGTCGGCAGGACCTGAATCAAGTGCACACTTGCAAACACCTTTTATTGAACGGAATAACATTTTAAACCCTACCGCCAAACCAAAACCATGAACAATGCTGGTTGTTTTGTGCTATTATAGTTCAGAGTACAAAAGGCAATGTGTCCTGCCTATGCTCGTCGGTACCACACGCGTGTGAAATCTCTCCAGGTCTGCAGCCAACGGCTTGGCTGTTGCGTGTTGCTGCTGCTGCTGCTGTTGGTGGCTGGGAGGTGCCTGCCTCAGCCCCTGGTCGATTTGAGAGAGCGGCGAGATTCACGCAGAGACGGCGTGTGGCCGTGGATGCATCACGCCATCGTAAATGGTGGCCCAGCTATCGAGTGTGCAGACGGTGCAAGTAGCACCATGGCCCACGGGCCGGTGGGGCCCGGGTGCCGGGCTACAAAGGCATGAGAAGGCAGACGTGGGGTCCTGTTTGATGCCTTGCACCAGGGCCCATGTGAATTATGCCACTGGTCCAGAAGGGCAGGGTGGTCTGTTGAGTTGCAAAGCAGTGTCAAAGGTGTGCGTGTTGCAGAATGAATCTGAGCACTGTAACTTATAACTTGCTTCATGTAATTATTATTAATATTTTTTTTTAGTTCTTAAAAATTATTCCTGAAATATTTCCTGGAAATATATTCTTTGGAATTCAGATCGTACTGATTTTTTTTAGATCCAAAAATGAATGTTGTAATAGTGTCATGCATGTGTAAGCCACGATCACACAAGCTTTTACGTTTTGGATTTTAAGTTTTTGTTCAATAAACCAGAATTTTAAACATTTTTAACCTGAAACTACAGTTTCATCATCAGCCCTGATCAATATACTGCTGGATGAAGGTCTCCTCAAGCTGCCGCCATCTCTCACAACCCTGCAATGTAATACTCCATTTAATATCTGCATATAAACTGTTATTTTAATATCCTTGACGCTCTCACAATTCTATTCCTGTGCACAATGTCTTTACACATTAAATGTCACAAGGGTCTATTTATACGTTTGCCGTGGCGTTTAAACGTGTATAGTATTTTTTTGTGGCGGGTGGTTGGAGCACACAACTTCACAAACCGGGCTTCCTGGGTTTGATAACCAACCACGGCTAACATCCGTCGCAAGCGATAACTCATCCTGGGTTCTCCCTTTGCCATCGCGTACTGACCAACGTGGAGTACAGCCTGGCAATCTGAGTGACCAACACTTTGGGAAGGCATTCACCCAGTAGTGGATAGGCAAATAGCTGTACATTGCCTGATTGTTTCAAAATTCCATTATAGTGTTACACATTTATCGTCAAATGTATTGATCATCTTTTTTTGTAAGTAACGCTGGCCAAATTTTTATCCAGTTAAAAAAAACAGCTGGGAATCGAGACCATTATGAAGTGGGCATGTAATTTGTACTGACAGTACTGTGTAGTGTCGAGACCTTTACACCGCACGAGAGAATGTGTGCATCAAGTTATTTGATCCACCGCACCCCTTTACAGCCCTCACTCAAGATGCCTCGCCTGCCTCCTTCAGGGTCCTGCGTCACGCGCCATACAGCTGCTTTATCTCTAACAAGCTGGTACGGCCCATCGTCGGGATGGAGCGATGTTTCTTTTCTCAACAACGTCGGTAATAAAACTCCATATCGTGAATGATGTGCAGCCCTCGATAGCTTTCGCCCCTTCATCACTGAGCTGGGCGGTGGTGTCTCACGCGCCTGCCCTCCAGCACTGGAAGTAGCAAGGGTGTTGGATTGCACATGATGTGAAATTCCCCGTGGGCATCGCGGAGCCATACCCTGGCTTGCCAGGAGAAGGCAGTACAACAAGGGACGAATCGCCATCTGTTTCCATCCCTCGTGCGATGTGTTTTTTTTCTCCGGGTGCTCCGGTTTTTGGAAGCATCCTAAAATAAAACAATGCAGGACCCTCCTGAAAATTAGTCACACGACTCATTGTGGCTTTCCTGGGTAAACAAATCTTAAGTTATTAAACTCGTCATGTTAGGCACAATACTGTCCTTTGTCCAACAGGCGGGACACTACATATTTGAATGATCTCTAAACTTTATAATTCTTAAGTCAGATATCTTCTGTACGCCAAGCAGAGGGAGCAGTGTGTTTGCAATCGTCCATATTTATTGAGCTTGATGTCATTCATACGCACTTTACTTCCACATTTATACACTGCACGAGAATAAGAGGAGATCATATTCTTGGTTCTTTCAGTAAAGTCACGTAGAATGGAAATAATAAAAGAATATCTATTTTTATTTTATAATTTACCTTCTACGTGACTTTACCGAAAAAAACAAGAATATGAATCCCTGCAGTCACGAAAGCTTTAAATCAAAATTTAAGAGATCATGTCAGACGAAGCAATGCGTTGGGCAGTAGGGGTTGGATGAATTGTAGCTGCAAGGCATTGCGGCTAAAATATACGGAGCTGGCATGTCAGGTGGCATAAAAGTTGTTGGACTGACACTTGCTGAGAACCTGGGTTGCGGATCTGGGCTGTATCTGCCTGTGATGCAAACGGGTTCGCAGCGAGTTGACAGCCTCACGCCAGCCATCACAAGGGCGGCACAGAGCCGCACTGCTCGTGAAGGAACGGAACAAGGAATGAGCAATGCGTGTTGCTCGGAGCGATGCAGCTTGGCTCGCGTTGACTTTCCGGTGGCTGTGGAAACGTGGCACGAGTCGCCACGAGGGCCCTGGCTGCAGGTGGCGTGCGTGAGGTCTGAGTCACCTTTCGTGCGTAGGGTGGGCTGCACACTCTGCACTTGATATATAATTAACTTATGACTACAAGTGCGACCTACGGGTGTAGTGACTGGTTTGGCTCGCTCAGAAAGCGAATGCACAGTTTGGGTGACTGAGCCAGCACTGACGAGGTACCTGAGTTCACACCTGAGCTTGACCAGTGGACCGAGAAGTCTCATCATGGTCGCCAATTCATCTCAATTCTTACTTGCAGTAATATATGTATATTATATATCAGTGAATGGTTGGATAAAACAGCTTCGGTTGAATTTTGTTTTGGTTTTCCATGTAAGGATGTGTATGTTGGGTAACGCAGTGCACGACACACACGGCCACGTGAGTTTGAAGACTGTGGCAATCGCGAGCAACTCAACTGGGACTTGGCATAGAACCTTCAACATCCCACTCGCGACCATTATGACTACGTTGTAAATAGCAGTCTCTAACTCTTGTTACCCACTCGATCTCTATGAAGCCTCTATATACTATGAAGAAGGCCCATATCCCGAAACGTCACGTATTTAAATATTTTTTATTTTAAGGCAGAGTTGTTTACGAACGTGTTGAGTAGTTTCGTTATTTGTGTGCGTGTGCATTAATGTCAACGCAGCATCACAAAACTCATTGTGTATATATCTTATGCCTTGGTAATTAGATCTTTGTTGCTATATCTTGCTGTGATGCTTGAACGCAACGTGGCCACATCGTGTTGAATAATCATCAGCCCTGGTTGCAGAGACCCTTGCTTTTGGTTCCTCCTGCAAGTGGGGCAAGCATTTTACAGCTGTGGGGAAAAAACACACTTCAGCTACGAGTCATCATGCGGAGTCTCGCTGAGGGGGTGATCTGTGTGGGTGATGTGTGTGGTGTGATGTGTGTGTGGGGTGTGTGTGGTGTGTGATCTGTGTGTGATGTGTGGGGTGTGTGATGTGTGTGTGGTGTGTATGTGATGTGTGTGGTGTGTATGTGATGTGTTTGGTGTGTGATGTGTGTGTGGTGTGTGATGTGTGTGTGGTGTGTGTGTGTGGTGTGTGATGTGTGTGTGATGTGTGTGTGTGGTGTGTGTGATGTGTGTGTGGTGTGTGTGTGTGATGTGTGTGTGGTGTGTGTGATGTGTGTGTGTGGTTTGTGTGTGATGTGTGTGTGGTGTGTGTGTGATGTGTGTGTGTGGTGTGTGTGTGATTTGTGTGTGGTGTGTGTGATGTGTGTGTGGTGTGTGTGTGATTTGTGTGTGGTATGTGTGATGTGTGTGTGTGGTGTGTGTGTGATGTGTGTGTGTGGTGTGTGTGATGTGTGTGTGGAGTGTGTGTGATGTGTGTGTGATGTGTGTGTGATGTGTGAGTGGTGTGTGATGTGTGTGATGTGTGAGTGGTGTGTGATGTGTGTGTGGTGTGTGTGTGATGTGTGAGTGGTGTGTGATGTGTGTGTGGTGTGTAATGTGTGTGATGTGTGAGTGGTGTGTGATGTGTGTGATGTGTGTGTGTGATGTGTGTGTGGTGTGTGTGTGTGGTGTGTGATCTGTGTGTGGTCTGTGTGGTGTGTAATGTGTGTGATGTGTGTGTGGTGTGTGATGTGTGTGATGTGTGTGTGGTGTATTGATGTGTGTGCGGTCTCTGTGTGTGTATGATGACGAAGGGAAGTTTGGGCCGGGAGGGAGCTTGTAATTAACCAAATGGAGCATGAGGCATTGCTCAAAATGACCTCGCTATGCATGGGAACTTCCTTGAATTACAGGACAATTAAAACAACCCCATGGCTCTCATCTTGTAGCTACACAGCTGTGCTGCGTGCCCTGGCCTCTCGCGCACGTGTGAAACTAAAACATGTGGTTAGGAGCGTCATCATAGCACTCGAGTGATATAATAGAGACGTGAACAGTTCACTGTGGACATGGAGAAACATCACTCGAGAACTTGATGTCATACCCCTACTTATCAAGTTGTATTTCGATTTAAAGCTTTCGTGACTGCAGGGATTCATCTTCTTGGTTCTTTCGGTAAAGTCACGTAGAAGGGATAATAAAACATAATAAAATAATTCTCACGACGTGAGAATTATTTTATTATGTTTTATTTTTATTCTTTTATTACTTCCCTTCTAGGTGACTTTACCGAAAGAACCAAGATTATCAAGTTGTGTTTCACCACAAAAAATATAAACATAAATCCCCTCGCCCCCCCCCCCCATGAATCGTCTTGAGATGCGGTCGCATTACCACGCTTCCTACATTGTATCGTTGCGTGTGCGTCTTCAGCCCTTTGTCTATCCACTGCTGGATGAGGGCCTCCCCACGCTGTTGCTGTCCGCCACAGTCCAGTGCGACTGCCCCATCTCGCCAGCGTCCGTCCTCTGAGATCAGTTTCCCCTCCTTTGACTGCAATTCCGTGACCAGTCTCGACCATTGCTCATCATCCGGTCTAGCCATGACGCCTCCTGCCCAAGGGGTTCAATAAATGAAGATAATAATCAAAACATCGTAAATACTGTATTTCACTTTGTAAGCCATCAGCGCAGTAAATGCAGCTCGTTGCAGCGTGCGGCACCGGGAAACACGCTGCCGCTGGGCGCGCTCGCCGCCCACTCTTCACTCGCCGGCTGCGAGATCCACGCGCGCGGCGCTCCCGTCTCGGCGCCTTTGAACGAATCGCGAACTCTGCTGCTCACTGCGACGACAGCCAAAGGGGTTCTTCTTCTCTAACGTATCGCTTCAACAAGTAATAGTACTCGTACTATTATTGTATACCTGCTGCGCAGAGTCCTCCTACGCTGCGAGGCCGGGCGGAGGCATGGGCGCCGCGGAGTTTCGGTCGCCTACCCTGGCCCCTTCCCTGGGCTGACCCCGCGTGACCTGACCTCGGGTGACCTCGGGTGAGACGGCGTCGTGAGCTGACCCTGGAGGTGAGTGCCGATGTGGTGACATCACTCGCCGTGCCCCCGTCCTACCGGCCTGCCGGGCCTCGCCTTGGGCAATTGCGGGAAGCCTGCACTAGGCCTCCCGCTGAGGGCAGCTAGGCGAGGTTTGGCGGGTGGGGCAGCTGAGAAGCCAATTGTGTTTAAGTTTGTGTGTCTAAGTTTGTGTGTTTAAGTTTGTGTGTAGCTGTGTCTTCCTGTGTATCTGTGCATTTACACAGCTGTGTTTAAGTGTGGTGTACCTACGTGTTGTGTGTGTGCTTGTGTACCTGTGTGTTTGTGTGCCATCGTGTACCTACTAGTAACTTAGTTCTTGTATTCGTCTTGTGTCTGTGTGATTGTGTACATGTCTGTCCTTGTGGCTGTGTTATTCTATACACGCGTGTTCTAGTGTGTGTCTCCCTGTGTAATTGTGTGTGTGTGTACTTGTGTGTGTGTGTTCGCATGGTCTTACTCCACTCGCTCTGATTAGTATTTTTTCCCCGAGTTTCGATTTGCAACTCTGAAAGTGTCTGATGGTGACACTTGTTGGCTTTACCATTATAAGAAAGACAAATCGAACACCTTTTTATATTTCTCCTTCCCATGCACCCTGTTTTACTCGTACAGTGCAGTATAAGCAGCACACTGTATTCATCACGAGGATGACCACTGCAGAGACGGAGCTATGAAATCAATGTCACGTGCGGGAGTCAAATGGGTGACAGTGACACCGGACCAATGCGCGATGGCGAGCGCGTTGGGAGGCCTTCATCCAGCAGTGGATTGTCAAAGGGCTGCGCTGTGCGCGTCGTGTGCCTGCCGTGAGTGCCATCGCCTCCCACGAGGCAGCGTATGCTCGTCACGAGCTTTCAGTCTGGCGAATCGGCTCACTCACGACATGGAAGTTGACCTCTGAGGAGCAGTGGTTCACAGACGGTGGCATCTGATGCAGCCACGCGAAACCAAACGAATGCTTTGCGCAATGAGGGCTACAGTGGGTGGCACCTCGCGGTACCCCCACATGTCCCGGCAGAGTCGAGAATTAACTTTCCATGAAGCAGGCCAATGAGCTTGCACAAGAGGGTAATAGTCAATCACTTTATTTCAATAGAATAACGATGCCAACTGGGACGTGTGGTGGCAGCAGTAGTGCTGCACATGAGGTCACATGCAGCAGATAATGATAATTTTTGCATTGTAATAAAATATTAAAGATTAAAATCGCGGCGTGGTAATGGGCGAAACATCTGAATTAACCGAGCAATGGTTTCGTCATGGGACAATTTGATTGGGACAATTCGTTTGTGCCAAACAACATCGGCAGCAGCGTGAGTCTTGCCCGGTGATGACGGTGGCCTGGTAATCGCGAGTAACCGTCCAGGCGCCCGTGTCCATGAAGGAGGCTTGATGGGAGTATGTGTGTGTGTATTGGGGTTGTGCTCGTGTTTTGCGTGAGCAGCTTTGCCCTTGTGAGGCCGGCACCGTGAGGCCGGGCCCGCACCGCGAAGCTGCTACCGTCACAGTTCCCCATCCTCGCGGCGCCCGGCCGTCAGCCGGAGCATGACGCCGCCGGCGCCACGAGTGCCGCCGCCGCCACCGCAAACCAGCGCTACGGAGGGTCGTCACGCCACACGCCTGCCAGCAGGTGAGGAGGGTGTTTGCAACCCACATTATCATCGTCATCATCATTATCTCCACAGTCCCAGTGTCTACTTATTGTCATTATTTTCACGTCATTCTTAGCAGCGTCATCATTATCAGCCACGTTCAAACTACTGTTGGATGAAAGCCGTCCAAAGCCACCTGCGTCTCTCACGGTCTAACGATGTAACAATCGGTCTAGATTAACAGGGGTGGGGAACGTCCGGCCCGCGGGCCGTATAAGGCCCTCGAAATAATTTAATCTGGCCCTGGCAAGGCAACCGCACGACTCGAAATTACATAAATCTAGGCCCTTTTTTCATAGCAACATAAATCTAATTTTGTATGGCCCGCGAATGATGTTATAAATATCCAAATGGCGTTTGGCAGAAAAAAGGTTCCCCACCCCTGATCTAGAACCTGAACATGAGCCTATTTCATTGCTCTGTCTCTGTGGTCGATGTCCTCCCAGGCACGTTATCTCCCTTCACCGCCACTCTGTTGTTGTTCTCTGCCGCCGGCAATCATCTCTGCTAGCAGCGTGCCCTGCCCAAGCCTATCTACCTTTTTTAACAGTCGATACGGTGCCTCTAACCTGCATATGTTTAATGTGTTTCGAGGATTCCTATATGTGTGTTCAAGTTTAAATGAGAATCTTGCGAAATTCTACTTAAAGAGTACACTGGGGTTGTTTCAAAGACATTTTCATTTTAATACGAGAAGTGTATAGCTTTACATCTCGCAGCACGTGATGGAAGTGAGTAGGCTCTGGAGGTTGTGGCTCATCGACGTGGCTCTGTCTGCGTCAGGCGTCTGCCGGGTCGCTCCTCTCGCCTGGTGGCCCGCGGGGACAAGGCCGAAGGGAGGATGGCGGTGGCAGCGGCGGTGGTGCCGGCGGCCGACTGGAACGGCCTCGCGCCGCGTGGAGAGGACGTGGAGGTGGACGAGGTGGACAAGCTCAAGTCGAAGCTGATGGCCGCGTGGAACAACGTCAAGCACGGTGAGCAATGCGCCACCCCCAGCGTTGGCGGACGAGAGCCTCCCCACGCCGTGTGGGCCGTGGGGGTTGTTTGACCATACTTCGTGGTTAGCGTGGGATGAATTCAGAGGACCCAGGGCAGGTTACGAAAGCACTCGATGGCTTTGTCCTGGGCTGTGTCACCTTGTCACTCTGTCTCCTGTCCCCCATGTTTCCTTGCCCTGACCCCATCAACTCCCCGTGAAAGCAAATCTTTTTTAACTTTTATCATTTTTACAAAACATATCCAGCTAAGATTGCATTTAGAAGGTATGTAAATTAAAAATTATTGTTTTGTTATTCACGGGTGGCTGAAGCCTGCATTTGAAACCAGGCGTACAGCAGTGCTGGACTCAGTGGTTTGACGTGGTATGAGGCCCCTGGAGCGATGGTCGCACTGTGCGGGTGTTTGTGTCTCTGCATGCAGGGTGGGTCGTAAAGACCAAAACCAGCTTCAGTCGCCACTCCCCCATCTACCTGCTCGGAAAGCAGTACGACTGCTCCTCTGAAGGTGACTGTGTGTGTTCGTGTGATTACGCAAGCATTGTGTGCCCACACAAATGGGTTAACTAATGCCAGGGAAGTAGCCTGCCTGTGAAGTGTACCTATATACATTACAGCTTTTTGTCAATCCACTGCTGGTTAACGGCCTCCTCGTGCTGTACGAGGTGCGTGGGGCTTATTTAATTGTACTTCGTGGCCAGGCCACCAGGTTTGCAGCGCAGTGCTTGAAAAGCTACTCGAAGCAGTCTCCATGCACGAAAACGCACGCACATAGTGAGGTGTAACATTACATTAACGATAGCACTGTGCGTCTCCCTGCTCAGTGGTGGACGTTCCTCGGAAGATATCGACCGGCTCCTCCTCCTGTCCAGACGCCGTGCCGGGCGGAGGAGGCGGTGGTAGCGCTCCGGCAGGGCTGGGACCAGCATTCCGTGCGTTCCGGCGAGACTTCGCGTCGCGTATCTGGATGACGTACCGGCGCGAGTTCCCACAGCTGGGGAGCTCGGGCTGGACCACGGACACGGGCTGGGGGTGCATGCTGCGCAGTGGACAGATGCTGCTGGCGCAGGGCCTGCTGCACCACCTGCTGGGCCGAGGTGAAGTGTGGGCCCCAGGGAGGGCTCGGCACGCGCGCGCACACGGCGCCGTCACCGGCGATGACGGTCATCGTCGCTAACACGACTAACGCTACCAACGCTTCCACTACCAACAACTACACAACATCAACAACTACAGTCACTCTGCTTTATTAAACCAGCAGGCAAAATAAGCCCAATGAGACACGTGGTATGTTGCCTCTTCAACAAGGGCGACTTGGGCACAATGGTCGATTGTTACTTCCAACTCTGCAATATCACGTGAATAAAAAAGACTTAGCCATGCAGGCATGGCTCTGGAGGTGGTGACAAAAGCTGTTGTGATTGTCGGCGGCGCAGACTGGCAGAGCGAGGAGGCTGTACAGCTACTGCACCAAGATAGCGAGGCGCCCGGGCGGCTGTCCTCCAGCCCCGGCGAGCCCGACTACGTGATGGTGGGGCGTGGATTTCTGGACGACAGCATCGCCTTGCGGCTAGCAGGCACCAGCTGGATGGTACTTACCGGGGCTTGAGCGGTGCATGTCTGTCCTGCAGGGTGGGGTTGGGACAGTTATAAACGACACACACAGTATTAGTGTGTATAGGATGTAGGAAATCATAAATGTGTTTATGGAAAGTCTTGTAAGTCCAGGTGAGTGTTAGCTCCGATTAGCACGGTTGGCTACATACGGTGCGAAAGAAGTTGAACACACATACATCTGATGGGATAGGTTATGCCCTGGCCGCCCAATGTAAGGTGTCACCACGGCCGGTTTGCACATCCTGTTGCAGGCCTCTACGGAGCAGACAGACACATACCGGCAGATCCTCGGCTGGTTCACGGATGCGCCTGACTCGCCATTTGGCATCCACAAGCTGGTGGAGTTCGGCAAGAGCTCGGGCAAGCGTGCGGGCGACTGGTACGGCCCCGCCATCGTCGCCCACATCCTCAAGTGAGTTTCGCTCGAATCGGATGTGGGCGCTGCGCAAGGCCCCGAATCTCACGCTCGTTCGTTAATTTTGTTATTAGTTAACAGAGGTGCCACAATCCATCTTGCTCCTGCGCTGGAGTCGATCTCATCGCTCCCTCTCTGCTGTCGTCGTTCTCTCGGGCGCATTCCCGTCTTTAGCTGCCATTCGGTCACCAGCCTCGTCCGTGATCCATCGTCCCTCACAGTGCGGTATCGCGGGTCGCGTGTCTTGAGCTTTAGATCTGCACTGGGGTGACACTCCTCTCTGTGGGATGCCCTCAGCCAGGCCATGGAAATGGCGCAGTCCCCCGGCGATCGACAGCATTGGTTTTGTGCCCCGTGGTCTCTGCCGTACCTCGTGGCGCTGTAGGAAGGCGATCGAAGAAGCCGAGCAGAAGCTCCTGCAGGACACGGTGGTGTACGTGGCCCAGGACTGCACAGGTGATGGCCGCTCGCGTTCGCGTGAGATCAGCGCTGTGGATAACCTGCACTGCCAGGCGTTTTAATTATTATTTAAGTTCAATGTGTAATAATACGCGTAACACATTTTTCTGCACAGCTTGAGTTAGCGCGATAGACAAAAATGGACGCGTGCGCGGGTGAAAGAACAGTCATGTGATGCTCAGGGCCCAAGAGGGTGGGTCGGCAACGTACTCCACAGGATTACGAAGCGATAAAGTCTGCTTCTGGGTGCTCAGGAATGACTTTTTGGATTTTATTACCCCAGCTAGTTTTGGCTGCAGGGCTGTAACACCTTGCTACCTTACGCAGGGGGGTGAGTACCCAGCAGCGCAAGTAATCACGTATCCGACAACAACAAACAAGCGGCGTGGGTTTCCTGTGGTCAGTGTACACCGGCGACGTGCAGGAGCTGTGCCAACCGACAGCCGCAGGGAGCTCAGACAGCAGTGAAGCCCTGGGATCGCGGGGCCCTCTAGACGTCAAGGCCGGTTGCTGCGGAGGAGGGGGTGGAGGGGAATCGGCGGCGGTGATGTCGCCGGTGCCCAGCGCGGAGTGGAAGGCGCTGTTCGTGCTCGTGCCGGTGCGGCTGGGAGGAGAGACGCTCAACCCAGTCTACGTCAGCTGCGTCAAGGTGCGGCTCTCCCCGAGTGGCCCGGGGCTTTTCCACCTGCACCACGCAAACGTGCGAGCCTATGGGCGTGTGACAGGGAGTGTGATGCAGTGTCTGGGGAGTAGTACATGGGTGTATGGGGATGCAACAGAGTGGGAGTGTAACGGTGTAACAGGGAGTGTATGGGTGTGCGTGGGGGTGTAATAAAGTGTTATCAAGAGTGTACGGGAGTGTACATGAGTAACTTGAGTGTGTGCAAGTCTAGCAGAGTGTGTGGCAATTTAACTTGTGTATGTGAGTGTAACAGAGTGGGGATGTAATGGAGCGTGAAGGTATTTGAGTGTAATAGGAAATGTATGGGAGAGTGTGGGAGTGTGACAGAGTGTATTAGATTGTAATCGTGGGAGTGTATGGAAGTGGAACTGAGATTTATGGGAGTTTCCAGGAGAATTGAAAGTGAGTGTACAGCAAGGGAGTGTACAGAAGGGCAAACAAGCCTGCGGGAGTAGAAGGGAGTGTGTGGATTGCAATGTCGTGTCCAGGTGTGTGCAGGTCTTGTCAGGGAATGTGAGCGAGCCGAGTAGAGTAGAAGGCAGTGCACGGGCTGGCATGGAGTCAACGGCGGTGTGTGTGCCACGCTCGGCCAATGCGCGACGCGTGGGCGTTTGGTGCGTACGTGTACGGATATGTCTGTTCTGGCCATGGCAAAGAGAGAAGTTGTAAAGACATTTATATGGCTGTGACGCCCGTCATTTACAGTAAAACTCCACATTGTGAAATGGTTCGAAGCAGCATTGGTATGCCGTCATCCTGAGAGTCCACAGTTTGTACACACGGTGTGAAATGTAATTGCACATAATCATAACGAATCTACAGACCAGTCGATTTTAGCGGATTAATGTTGAGTCCCGCATAAAATCATAATTGTTGTAGAGCGGGGACCCGCTGCTGTTGAGCCAGTTTCTGCTCGCGTGGGCGTGGTGCCAGCTGGCGAGACAACCCGTCGGACGTTCTCCGGTCCCCGCCGTGAGCGAGGAAGGCCCCCTCTGGTGGTGACGCGCAAACACGTGTGGTGCGTGTCGTGTGCAGGGCATTCCTGGAAATGGACAACTGCATCGGCATCATCGGAGGAAAACCAAAGCACTCACTCTACTTCATTGGATACCAAGGTCAGCGGGGCTGGCTCCACACTCCTGCCGCTGTACAGACGACAATCACTCGTGCCTCTCTAGAGCTCGTACGGCTCCTTTAATGAGCTTTCAAGCCCTCTCTTTTAATGATGAGACTGTCAGTGCGTGGTCCTTGGAGGGAGTGTCAACTGCGTAAGACCTAAAACCCATGATTATTGTACGCTCATTCGCTCATTCACCCAGGAAAGCCTCACTGAGTCTCGAGACTCATCAGCAGGGTCCTGGCAAGTGTGGATAACAAATGAGCCCGTTTGTGGGTAATTTTTCAAATATGGCAAATTTGGATGACACTTTCACATCAGTGGCCTCCTCTTGCGAATGGCGTCACGGAATCTTTAATAGATGTTGATGATGATGCCGAGTCTGCGATCCTTGGAAGGGCGTTAACTGTGCAACAAGCGAAAGACCAAAAGCCAGATAACAAAAAACAGTCAATGCATTCGTAAAATAAAATATGATACGGTGAGAGCAGTCACCGAAGGACAACTGTGAAACTCTGCAACAGTTGAGAGATTTAGGAGAACAAAGTGATGGCAAGGTGTAGGAGCATCAGCATCATTGGCCAAGGTGATCTCTTGGCCTTGCTACTGCTGCAAGGGTGATAATTTGCTGATGCACACTCCCACAGATGACCACGTCATCTACCTGGACCCACACTACTGCCAGACCGCGGTGGATGCTGCCCAGCCCGACTTCCCGGTTGAGGTGAGCCGTGCGGACACGGGAGTAACCTGCGATTACGATTGTAAAGGGGTCATATGTAATTAATTGGCTGAGCTGAAATTGCGATTGATCCAGGCCTGGAGCAATGCTATCTGAGCTTTGCATAATCACGAGTAGTTTTTTTGGAAGGGATTCTTGGTGAACTGAACACAGCCACAAACTTAAATCGCATTGAGAGGTTGTCTAAGAACTATTAAACACAGATTTGGATTTTAGTTTTTTTGCTTTTTATCCCCAGTTATATTTAACCGAGCAGGTGGCTCAGTGACAGACCGAGTGGCTCGCAAAGGGAAGGTTGATTCAGTCCATAATTACGCTGGGGTCAGTAAAATTAGTACCGATTTGTGTGGAAATCAACAATGCTTTACCTATGGAGAGACTCGCCCCCACCATAGGAATGTGGATTTTGTAGCGCTGGCTCAGGGCTGAAAACAAGAGACGATCATCTGCTCGTTGCTTGTATCAGAGATAAATCACTTTGACTTTCCGGGTGTTTGCTATGTGGGAGGAAACCTGAGTCTCTGGAGGAAACCTATGACACATTCATGCACACTTGGATTTTTACAAGTCCATCGATTTATTTCCATCTCCTGGCCATCTCACAGCCCAGTCCTCCAGCACCTGCTATTCTCAGGCAGTCTCATATCAAATCACTCGCAGGCTCAATTCTGCTTGGAAACCCAATATCTGGTGAGATGGGGTGCTTTGCGGATGATTTGGGTGTACTCATTCCACTCATCACACACACCAGTTACACACTCATCACACACACTCATCACACACACCACTCACACTCACCACTTACACACTCACCACTTACACACTCACCACTTACACTCACCACTTACACACTCACCACTTACACACACACACCACTCACACACTCATCACACACAACTCACACACTCATCACACACACCTCTTAAACACTCGCCACTTACATACTCATCACACACCCCACTTAGACAATCATCACACTTATCACATACACACTCACCACACACACCACGCATACACTCACCACACATACCAATTACACACTCATCACACACACCACTCACCCACTCACGGGGGCGTGCCGTGTGTGCTCAATGTCGCCTGCCCTCCCCCGTGCAGTCGTTCCACTGTTGCTCACCACGGAAGACGGCGTTCACCAAGATGGACCCGAGCTGCACGCTGGGCTTTTACTGCCGCACGAGGGACGACTTCCTCGCGTTCCGCGATCGAGTCGTCAAGGTGAATGTGCGCCCGGCTTGCTTTGAGCATAGGACGTCTTCGCGCTGCCGCTATACTCGCGAGAGCGGAGGGACTTGTCGGCCCAGGAAAGACGCGGATGACCGAGACGTGCGGTTGGCCTGCAACGGGTGGATTGTTCTGCAGCGTGACCGTGGGAGAGGCCGTCATCCAGCAGTGGATATAGTATTTCTGATGGCCGATGATTGGGCAGAAAGCACATATTCTGACAATGATTTCTGTAATTTAAGAAAAAAAAATCGCAAATCTATAACTGTATTACTCGGCGCAGGTCTTTCAAGCTTGCCTTTGTTTTTCGATGCTTTTGCCTTGCCGTGTCTCGCCGTGCGTTGGCGCAGGTCCTCCGGCCGTCGGCGGGCGTTGGAGGAGGAGGCCTGCCACAGGAGAGCTACCCCATCTTCAGTTTCATGTCGGGGCGGAGCCGTGACGTGGAGGATGAGGAGCCGAGGCCTGAGAGGCACGTGCGGCTCCACCCGGTGTGCCGTCGAGCCGCCCAGCGCAGCTCCTCCGAGGACTTCGTGCTGCTGTGACTTGGCAGCCCGCTAGTCTTTTCGGTGGAGTTAAGCCTGCTGTGTAACACCGCACCCAGTTAGTCCTCGAAGGAGTTAAACCTGCTGTAACGATTGATAATTATCAATCACGGGATGACAGATTATGATCTGTCATCCCGTGATTCTTCTGCCGCTGTAGCACCGCCGCACCTCGTTAGTCGTCTCGGCGGAGTTAAGTCTGCTGTCATCTCTCATCCCCTATTCTTCTCAGAGGATGTATCCGTGATCACACCTCGTGAGACGTCTGAGAAGAATGAGTAACCTTGCATCCCTAGATGCAGCTTTTACCAAGTGTCATGCTGATGGCACCCTGAACACGGTGAAGCTGCTTTGGGGACTGTGATATGCTGTAACTTCTCACTGCCAAGCGCAGCTTTGAAGACTTGAATCCCGCCATGGGCCTGCAATCCGCAGGGCAGCTCCTGTACAGACTTGGTCCTTCTGCAGCTCCGTATCCCTTGAACATGAGGACTTTTTCCTGCCGTAACTTCCCACCATCATAATCGCTGCCCTGCAGACTCTGTTTCCATGTGACATCACATTCAATCCCTTCTGTTTTACAACTGTTGCGTGTGACCTTCACTTCAAAACTCTTTTCATAACTCTGAAATCTCAGGCTTATTTTATTTAACCATTTGAGAACTCGAGAGCATGGTAATAACGTTGATGCTACCTTTAACGCTCAAGAACATTTTAATTTAAAAAATGTACTTGTTGCCCAACAACATGTACCTGAGGACAAAGGAGTGCTTGTTTTCCAAGTCGTTGTGAGACTTGTAATCAGGGTGATCTTCCTGTAAACATGACAAATCCATTGCTTGCACCTAATGCTGTTACATTTTTCCATCAGTATTCGAGCAGGAAGCTGTGGTAATCGGTGGTCGTTGGTTTAACGTGACACCTTTGAACCTAGCCCCAGGCACTTTGTACGTCCAGCTCCCAGCGTCCTGTACATGAGGCCCTATCCAAGCTCTAAGCTGTGCGCACGTGGTTTTGTAGCATCATTTTCTGACGTTTTGCACATCACCATCGTTTTAACTTTCGGAGAATGAATTTTGACAGTGCAATTTTTTATTCGCTTGTAAATATTGTCTCGAAATGTAGCGAGGGAAATGTTAATGTATTTTGTGACTGTGCTTGTGTGCACACAGGCGTACCACTGTGCCCGGGTGTACGTTGGTATGTACGGACACACTGTCGATTACACGTTGAAGCTCCCTTACACTGGACCATGGTCTTTTTTATTGCGTTTGTGCGGTCCTCACGGATCAGATGAAATGTGCATCGTGTTCGACACACGCTGCCCCTATGTCTATAAAGGAGTTTCCAATGCCCTTGCTGCTGTCTATACCATTCAACCACGCTCGGGTTTACGCCCCATGGTGTTGCCCAGAGCCAGCTAGAGTTCTTCTCCAGAGATCAATCCGGGAGGCAAGTTGTCACGCTGGTGACGTCCTCGCATGAATCTTGGCTGCCGCGTAGCCCATCAGGTCGGGTCATCGTGCCGGCTCCAGTCAACGCGTGCGGGCGGTGGCCAGCTTATTGTTGTGACTGAGACTCAAACCAGAGGCAAACCTGGGTAGGCCGAGCAGCGGTCGCCGGGACTTCCACTGCCCGCTGGGCAGGAGGCTGTTTACTCGCGGGTATCCCAACTCCAGTTCTTGCGACCCACCGCGCGATGTTGCCTCTCCACGTTAACCACTCGCCGCGGTTCAATTTCAGATTGTCTCTGCACGACGCTACATGCAACAGATGGTTGGTAAACTCGTCCCATGTAAGAACGCAGATTAAAATTAGGATACATTTTAATCTGCATTATTTACGTCGCGTGAGATGTGTTGACCAACATAAGTCTCTCTAAAAACGCGCGTGTGTTACATCACGGGGGACACGGACATACACAACTCTCTTGTCTTAATTGGAATGGCCACTGTCACGTGGCACGTGTTTAACAATCATCGGGTGTGTACAGTGTGTAATGACCTAATTTGTATTTAAACGAAGGTTGGTTACAGTGGGAGGGAGCGCCGGTGGTGGGTCGTTGGAATTGGAGTCCGAGACACGCCGGACAGGGCAGCAGGGCGTCGTGAGTCAACACCGATACAAATGTTAAGCCGATTTAATTTCCGTTGATGTTAAATATCTTTTAAGATACGTTGTTGTCCAGAAGAGGAATATGGTTGCCTTCATAAAAGAGTATCTGAAGATTAAAAGGGAAGCTTTGTGTTTTCTTTCTACGTGATCTGTGATTGGGTTTCTTGGAGTTTTGTTTGATTTACGAGGTGGAGATTGTGACAGGTCGCCATCCAACCAGGCAGATGTGTGGTGACGGCAAACCTAGCGCTTCATCAGGGTGCACACGTTCATTTGTAATAATGACAGCGTTCCCTTTTGAAGACTTTCTTGAACAAGTGAAACATTTTAGAGAAAATTTTGGAAAACCGATGAAGGATCCAAACGTTTCCAACCAAATATTTACAAAAAATCAACACTGACCACTCCGTTTCACATCACTTGTCTCGCTTTCGCGTTAGGAGACACGGCGGTCAGCTTTTGACAAAAGACGACACCGGCCACTGGGCCACATCAACGCCCAATTTTTGTGTAGTTCGCTTTATTGCATGCCACGAAGGCCTGTGATGTCGCCGATTTTTCTATTTTCTCTTTTAAGGCCACAGTATTGAAGAATGCGTTGAGTTTTTACCTAGTTTATATATCACCTTGTATTTCTACAGGTTGTCTACTATGTATGCATGTATCACTCGTTGCCACTACAGCAGATACAGATCAAAATAATTCATACACACACAAAAACCGATGCGGGTTTTGTCAGCATGGGAATCGATTTTATGCGGTTAGATCCTTGAGCCGCTGACACTTCAGTGGACATCGAGGGAGGGGAAATTCACAGAGGGCGGTGTCATCTATTTACGCGGTACAACTCGTTAAGCGTGGAGATGCGAGTGGCGTTGCGTACGGGACGCTGCGCAGAATAGCAAGAGGAGCATTTTTTTAAATTAATGCGTAGCGTAGAAATTAGCGCATTACGTAAAATAATTCCTGCAAAACAGAAGGCGTCATGTAAAAAATATATTTACACTCATTTAAATGTTCTTGTTAATTTGCTAGAAAACACTTGTCAATAATCATGCAATAATGCGACCGCGCCATTATATTCACGCCATGTTCAGTCTGAATATATGATTCACTTATCATTTACATTGATTATGGGGAGTGAATCTTAGAAGACTGGTGCTACCGACGGACCACGTCACGTGTGTGCTGGCACGGAACACGTTTAAAACATCCCTTGTGTGCAGGAGGGGGGCGTATGTGAGCTTCTGTGCGTACATTTATGCGACCCTACGTGGTATGATTCTACGTGGAGTGAATGTGAGGAGTGATACCACGTGGGTGAATTGAGTGACCCTGCGCGCCTGTTGGTCACCGCACAGTGCTGCAGCGGTGCAGGCGCAGGGTGGTGGCCAGGGGGTGCGGTGGTCACAGGAGGAGGAGGGCCACGGCGACCGTGAGGAGTTCAAACCCGAGACGCCACGGGCGAGGGCGCCCCGCGTCGCCCCGGCTCCCCGCGCTCCGCGCTCCGGGCAGCTTCGCCGTCTCGTACAGCCACGTGTGGTTCTAAACGCACGGCACGCAACGCGCGAGTCAAAAAAAGGAAAGAAGTTAGTTTTTTTTTGGGTGGGGTGGGAGAGGATTTTAAGATGATTTACATGATCTACTCATGTAAAGTGTCGTCTTTAAATTATGTAATGTGATGCGTCTGCGTGCTAACAATCCTGATGTTACCTGATGCCACCAGAGACCGATTTTGGCAGACTAAGCGTGGCGACATCACTTGTGTTTTTTCGGATCAATCCAAAACAAACATTCGGATCGTCGAGAATTTCATACCTAGGCCTGTGTCATGCACGAAAGTGCTCAGTTGCGTGTTCGCAACCGTGACTATACGAGCCCCGTGATAATTGACTTTTCACAGCCACCTCCTCTTGTGGTTAACCGCCGACGCGAGTGGCAGCAGCAGCGTCTCCCCCTGTGTTTGGGAGACAGTTGTCTGCTTCTGTTACGGTACGAGGCACTCAGACCCAGCACAGACAAAAAGGCTCTCGCAGAGGCCCTTACAATGATGACAGGGGTATATCTGAACGCAATCAATTTACAGGACATTGTCACCAGGAAGAAAATACCAGCCCCCCCCTCTAGTACTCATTTAGTACAGCCAAGATGCTGGCAGTCATGGACACATTCCATTTGTGGGCTGTTTCGAAGTGGTTGGCCGATGTGCAGGGCAGAAGGTGTCGAGGAAGACCGAGGGTGAGATGGGGGGATGCGGTGAATGTGTTCAGATGTTATCTGGTGCAGTGCCGGGATTGTGTGGCTCAGCAGCAGCAGCAGGAAGAGGGGCGGTGGCGGTGGCCCACCGAGAGGTAGAGCTTCACGTCGTAGTCCGTGTCCCGCAGGAGGCGCTCGTACTGCGTCACGCGCTCCGTGCTCCACGCGAACTCGGCCACCACCGCCTCCAGAAGCCGCCCCTTGTGCCTCTCGGGGGACGTCACCGTGTACTTGTTGCTTTGCCTGCGAACTCACACGGCGGTCGTGGGGGTCGCGCCCGGCTCGGCACCGTGACGTGTGTTTGCGAGTCTCCGCACGGCGTGTGCGCGCGTGGTGTGTGGTGGTGAGTGTGTCATGTGGTGGTCGGTCTCATGGCGGGGGGGGGAGTCTCACAGTGGTGAGTTTCACAGTGATGAGTCTCACAGTGGTGAGTACATCTCGTGTGCAGCGGTCTGCCTGCTCGGTCGCTGGAACCCAAGGCCCCAGTATTTAAAGCCTCCGGTGTGGAGGAAGAGGCTACGGGGAAACAGAGGAGCCAGGATGGGCGAGAGGGAGGCACGGTTTTTTTTAAACAGGGCTGGGACGTGTTTCTCTCAACGCGACTCGAATAATAACTTTGGAGTCCCAGAGCTGCCAGGGGAACCCAGACGACCGGCCTGGAAAATTTCACAACTTTGGAGCTTCGAGTGATCCTGTGGCTGATGCTACTTTTGCTGATTTTTGACCGTGAGGCCTTTGCACCTCGAGGTCAGCCACACACTTGCCCGGAACTGCCAGGGTGGCACCTCGCCAGAGTTTCACCGTGGCCACTAAAACGCGCGCGCGCTTCCACCCATTTCAACCGCCGAGTTGGTGCCGGGCGAGCGGCCTCACTTGGTTCCGATTTAAAGCTTTCGTGACTGCAGGGATTCATCTTCTTGGTTCTTTCGGTAAAGTCACGTAGAAGGGAAATAATAAAAGAATAAAAATGAAACATAATAAAATACAATTATCACGACGTTTCGGCCACAACGCAAGCAGCCGTCCTCGGGTGAAGAACAGGGCTGTCTTTCCTTCTATGTAACTTTACCGAAAGAACCAAGAAGATGGCCTCACTTGGTCACTTCGCAGCCGAGGAGGTTGCGAGCGAGCGTCGGCACGTTGGGGATGCTGCGGCAGCGCGCGAGCGAGACGCGCGGGTAGTAGTGCAGGTACGCCAGGCACATCTCTTGCAGCGTCTCGAAGCCTCCCTGGGGCGACAGGAGCCATCGTACGTTCCGAACGCAGAATATTCACCGTGCGTTGTCGCGGAGAATGTTATCAAACAAAATAAGTACCGCCTCCTTCCCATCGTTTTGTCTCCGCATTAACAAATATAACTAATACTTTGTATGCATCGCATTGGCCGCACGGCCTTCTGTGAGTACATAATTTCAGCAGCTTTGGTTCAATCCAAACAAAACTCTTGACCGATTTAGACATTCAATGTCTCACCATTGAATGTCAGGCTTGCCTTAAGCCAATGCTGTTGGACTGCCAGATGTTTAAAGGCAAGTACCCTCTCTGTAAGATATGGGTCCGAATTCAACGCAAAGTTATATGATACATAGCACAAAATAATAATTGAGTGTCGTTGTGGAGAATATGAATGTGTTAACGATGGTAACGATGTTAGTATGTGTTTGGTGCAAGATTTTGAGAATTTGAGAAGTTTTGGCCAATCCTGCCCCTGTGAGTAAGACTGATTACAATGTAGGCAGTCAAAAATTATTTTTCTAGTTTTAAATATCGACCATATGGCTGTTCTAAATGTCAACTTCCTAGCCCTTCTAGAACATGAGCATTTCACTTTTTCACTCAGTTGCTGTTTTACTCATTCAGCGAACTCTGTCCATTTATGATTGTTTTCAGTGTTGTAAAAATATAGTACAAATGAAGTTATTTAAAATATGACGCCAATTATGGATTCAACACTTTTAAAAACACCCAAATACAAACATGATTAGGACCAGTTTCAAAAACTAAAGTTAAATATTTTTAGTTTTCAGATTTTTCTAGTTAAAGGATTCCATTTCACTACATTGGTGTAGACTTGTCAGCTTTCCAGCAAATTGTAGGTCATCCGAATTCACTCCACTCGGTCCACCACTGATTCGTTATTCGTTTTTTGGACTTGGGTCGTCGTGCGGGTCCGTCAACTCGGGCTGTGCACTCTCGACCACCAGACACAGACAATCGAGTCAAGTTGTCACCCAAGAAAATGCGCCAGTCGAGTTTGTTTTGAGCAAGACCTGGTTATGTTCAAAAGCAAGCAACATTTAACAATTTCATTCGTTTTGCTGGAGATTACAACCCAGCATCATCAGTTGTGAGCAGGTTTTAGCTCTAATTGGCATCATATCTCCACATCTCAATGAAAAAACTGTTATGGATCATTAGATCGGTTGGGAAAGCCTATGTGCGAACTCGGTCCCGACGGTATCGATCAGTGGTTCTCAACTTGTTAGGTATGGCGGCCCTCTAATCAAGATCACTGATCCCTGCCAGCCTCAAACTTGACTAAGGGTACTTGAGGGCCACAATAAACAGAGAGATCACATGTCCATGCCTCTAGTCAAAGCGGTTTTAGCATGGCATTTGTGTTTCACGCTGTGTGTCAGTGTGTTGTCTGTTAGCAAGGCATGCGGTTCCTGGTGTCGTTGCGTGTTTTGTGTTCCTTGGGCATTTGTTTTGTGATGTATCGGTGTGTTTTGCGAAAGGCATTTGTTGGATATTGTGTATTTTTATTGTGTATTTTTATTGTGTCAGCAAGGCTCGTGTTGTCACGTTGCGTATCGGAGTGTTTTGTCCGCTGATGGTCCCCGCGCACGTTTATAA